GCCGCCGCCGAAGCCCTTGCCTCGATAGCCGCCGAAGTCGTGATTGCCCTTCCAGTTGCCCTTGCCAATGGGACGGGAGCCAGCACTATGCCACTTGCTCAAACTGAGCAACCAACACCCATGGCGTTTCCTTTCTTGCCCTTCAAGGGGTAGTTCTCGTCGGCATCGTCCTCCTCTTCGTTCTGCCAGTCGTCCTACCACTCGTCATCATAGTAGTCGTCGTGCCAGCGGCCGTCTTCCCAGTAGCCGTCGTCGTACTGGTCGCCGTAGTCGCCACTGTCGTCACCGGTCCAGAAGCTGTCGTTGCAGGCGGCACCAGACTCGGGAGGCTGTCACGAGAATGAAGATTCAAACTCCTGGTAAAACCTTCGTCTCCAAGGCGCTTCGAACTCATGCGCGATGCCAGCACGCGTGCCTCAGAATATCGTCGAAGGTCTCCGTGACCAAGCCAGCCTTCTCCGCTGCTTCTTCCCAAGGAGGGTCGAGTTCAACAGAATATATTCTTGGAGTCTTGGAGAGTCATCTTTCCACGTTGGAAGTCGAAGAGGGGATCCAGAGCCCGACTGGCCATCTCGTGTTCGCTAAACCGCTAAAGCCAAACGTCTCTCGCAGCTTGTCGCAGAGGGCCTGGATCCCACTAGGCACGTGGTGTTGCAGAATCCTTTGTCGGATCGGCTGGGCTTCAAACCTCTTCAACACTTAAATGGTGCAACGCATCATTGCCAGCATCGATGCCTCCATCTGGACGTGGGAGCTTAAGGTTCATGGCGATCTCCTGCGCCTTGCCGATCAGACGACCCACCACGAGGGGTCCCACTGTCTCATCCGCACCATAGACGCGATACCAAGTCTTCAACGTTTCGAAAAAGGATTTGAGGGGGTACTCAGAAATGCCGGGCCCCCAAGCAGGTGGGACATTCCGGAGGGGAATTCCTGTAGGTTGCAGAATCGGGCAGCAGCTCACAAAGAGAGCGCCGCGACGCCGGATCAGGAAGACGCCTTCCGAGTTCAGCTCGAGGTCGTCGCCCACAAGCTCGGTTACGAGACTGCCGGAGACCCGAAAAGTGCACGATGCTGAGGCCCTTCACGCTCTGCCCTAAATGCTTCGATTTTCGAAACAAGAAAAGGCAGACACCAGAAGAAACCTCAAACACGTGAGACGCGTACTTGTGGAGGATCGTGTAATCGAAGGCGATGTCGTGAAATCCGTCAGCCTCGGCGACAGACTGTCCAAGCTTCCATGAGCTCAGGCAGCGTAGCGTGTTCAATGGAAAAGGAGCAGCAAGCTCCGCTACCAAACTTAGAACAAAAGGAAGGGCGCCCCTCCAAATGATGACCATGACCCCATTTAAGAGCAAACGGCCCCCGCGGCAATGTCTCGAGCCATGTCTGCAGCCATCATTTTTTAAAACCCCAAGCCCCAAACCCCTAACACCTTAATGAAACCCTAAGCCCGAAACCCCTAACCCCCCCCCAAACCCTCCCTAAGCGCGGGCTTCTGAAGTCTTGTGGCCCATCTGGTCAGGCCCCTCAAGTACTAGGACCTAGGATCGCCAGTAACCTAGGACTAACAGGTCAGTATAGCTTAGTTTTGCAAAGAACTTAGGACCCCAAAAAGGGAAAAAGGGTTACTCAACACCCCTTCTCAAAAGAAGGTGTAGAAATGTTTGTCTGAAGACATTGAAGATTTCGACGCCTGTAAGAACACTCTGAACCAGAAACATGGTGTTGTCCGAAGACCCAAATACTATAGACCTTTTTATTGGGACCATCGAAATGGTACCCCTAAACCCTAAATCCTGAATCCTATCCTTAGCCTGGTTCTGCGATTGGCGTTATTCAAAATTTTCATGTACAGATTATGGAGGGATTACCTAGGTTATGATGTGGGCCACAGCTTCAAGAAGTTGGAAGTGGACAAGAACCTCGCTGTCCTCTGCGCCATGTTTGGCCAAGGTGCTGATGGCAGCTGAAGGCAAGACCGAGACTGCCTGCTGGCATGTATTTCTTACCTACCCTGATTCCAAAAAGCCCATAAACCTTAAATAGTAGCTTCCATTTCATTTTCCCTTATCCTGATATAACCCCAATATACTATAGTTTTCCATGTTATTTTCCATTATCCCCATATATACTATAGTTTTCCATGTTATTTTCCATCATCCCCATATAACCTCATACTGGGCCAAGGCCTGTAGCTGCATGACAGCAGCGATCAGCGCTGTTGCAGGCTGACCCTCCTCGCCTTTTGCCTGAGTCTGTAGCAGTACAGTATAGATGCTGCAACTGCCCAAGATCAGAAGTTGCATGGCAGCTGGGCCTGGCTGCTCACTCGTTTTGACAGGATTGGGAGATTCAAAAGGCTCATCAACTACCACACGCATGTTTACTTTCGCAGGCCAGGGTGGGCCAGCGGGCCAGCCCTTTCCTCCACCTCCCCACCCCTGTCAGAGTTGTCAGGATGCTGTCTGCCCCGCCTGCCGGGCAGCGAGGTTGATGATCTTGCTTTGCACGCCCGCCTACAGCAGCAAACGCCAGCAAGCCCCCAAACCAAAACCCTATAAAGGCAGAAAAAGCTGCCTCTAGGTCCACCTTGGCACACAGAGCTCCCGCAATGGTGAGGCCCTGGGCAAGAGGCACAGGGCGGCCCATCCAGTGTCCACGGTGAAAGCTTGGCTCTTAAAGGTTTGTGAGGCCCCAGCTGCGTGGAAGGCATCCTTTTGGCTGGGCCGCCGGAGCATCAAAAGCAGCGTTGGAAGCAAGGCCTTGCACTAAACCAGCAAGTACAAGGCACCGAAAGTCTTGAGTCTCCATCACGTACCTGAACCAACTCCGGGGCAAGTGACCTCGGCTCCCAGCAAAGCGTAAACATGATGTTCAACGGCAAGGCATGGGAAAATCTTGGGTGCCTGTTCCTGATTACAATAATCTTTTACCCTTACCTTCCTCCATAGTTGGAAGACAATCTCAGAACATGCTTTATCCCCACACACGTTGGACACCTGGCAAAAGGCCTTGCATCTGCACAGGTTGGGCCCCTGCCCCAGCAATGCAAGCGTGTCCAGCCACAACGCCGCATAGAAGGTCATGAGAGCCCGATTTGCCTTCTGCAGCTTCAAGTTCTCCTGACCCGCTTCACATCGCTGCACACAGAAGCCATCTCGGCTACTCTCAGCTGTCCTCCATGACCTGACCAAGAAAGTTCAGCACAGAAATGTCCTGGACCGTCAAAGAGGGCATGGCCCACAACACGCCCAGGAAAGCTCTGGCTGACGTCCTTTGTACAGTACTTGGCCAACGCTGAACGCACCAGGGTGGCTGGCTTGGCCTGCCAAACAAACTGCACAAAACTTCTTATTACTCTTACTATTAGGACTACTAGTAGTATTACTATTAATATCCCTACTGTTACCGCTATCTTTATTACGATTATTACTACTACTAAATATTTCTACTACTCCCATTATTGCCATGTACTTCTATTATGACACCACTGAGGTGCAAAATCTGCATCTCGAAAGCCTTCAGGGTCGTGAGCCAGGACCAGAGCGGCTTGCCCTCAATATGCAGGCCCTGGACGGCAAATAATAGCAGAAATCATATAACAAGAATACTTACAGCCATAGTGACAAGAGTAATAATAATGATAATCATAACCGTATTGATAGTATTAATAATAGTAATACTTCAAATGAAAATAGTAAGAATGACAATCGATTCCTGCTCATCTCAGGACTCCGGCCTGCACAAGCTTGGTGAAGAGCGGTGAATCCTGGACAAGAATGCTTGAGGCTTCGCGTCAAAACGGGAAAGCTGTGCTCTCAGCCCCCCGCATGATGGGGCAACACTGCTCCCATCAAGTCGTCCACGTTCCAGCGGTGCACATGATACCTTTCAGGGGACAGCCGTGACAACACAGGACTCTGCGCACTTGCGGGGCTTGGGCAGATGTCCTACCCTCGAACCCTGCGAACCCTGCAGGAGCATGAGAATAGTCTTGAGGCTTCTTCTCAGCCGCTGGGCCTGTACAAGAGGCCTTCAAGGCACTCTTGAGCTGCGCGAGCCTGCATGTGCGGAGACCTGAGCTGGGAATTCACCATCATCATCACCACCATGATTCCATCATCATCATACTGTCATCATGATCATCATTCTCATCCTGGTCGAGAGGGTACTCACCACGATCACAGTATTCATCAACAGCTGTAGATGGTTACAATGAAACAGGAATCGTAGAGCATACACGTTCCTTGTTCCGCCACGGAATCGGAGGCCATCTCCAAGAAGGGTCTAGGTCATGTCTGCAGGGCTGCACTGCCATGAAATCCGACATCTCGTGCAGAGAGCGTTTCTTACCTACAAGATCAGGAATGTGCAAGCATGTGTTTTTGGATCTGTGGTAATAAGTACTGCGACGAAAACCTCACCCAACAATCCTCTGCAACTCACGAGAGGCTCTTTTCCTTTCGCTTCGAGCAGATGGCCTTCAATAGTTGCAGAGGCAGGCCAATAGGCCGTGCAGGAATCAGCCGTTGTTCGGCTATTCGGCTGGCGGAGGGTGAAAGAAAACACATGTATTGATGTATTTAGATCATTCGCATGTGCTGCACGCTGGAGGACTGTTATGCTGCCTTATCTCTCCGCGATTCTGAGGCTTGTCTACCGTGCAGTTGCTGACAGCACATGCTACTCTCAGAACTACACATATGGAGGGAAAAACCCGTTCTAGAGATACGGCACCTGCACCTTTGTGGCGAGAACCAGCAGTAACCAGCACTGCACCTGGGGCTGCCCGGAGTCTATTGCAATGAAGCGCAGCTGCCTGGGCAGAAGCTTGGAAGAGCCCCGGAGGTCGAAGTACAGCCACAGCTCTCGGGGCAAAGATGTGCCAGAGGGCGGAACAAGTCCGGCATACCTTCACACCATTCAACATCCATAATTGTATCCTTTGGAAATTCGATGAGTCCCTCGCACCCTGCAGGCAGCATCGTCTCCACTGTCTACCCTACAACGACCTCCAAGCTGGCGCTTGCTTTGGACCCCTCACCAAAATGTGCGCGGGCCACCGCGGGATAGAGCGACCAAAAGGCCTGCCAGGCATCGCTGGTCACCTTGCTTCTGCTTGGCATGAACTACAATCGAAACCCCATTAGCACCTCAGGAGCACGAAACCTCAAGCTAGACCAGGCCACCGACACATCTTGACAGCGGCTGCTGGCCAGGGCCGTCCGTGCTATCTGCAGGCATGTGGAAGCACAGCCTTGTGTTTCTTCGGTCTTGTACCACGGGGAGCTGTAGGGATCTGTGCATCCACATGTTTGTCCGCACACCAATCGCAACAGGCGGGCATTCAGGCGATTGCACTGATCCTTCAGCTCCAAGCAGGAAGTTGTGCCTGTACGTCCGACCGTGGCTGCTGCAGTGTTCAGAAGCTGCGTGGCCAATGGCTGCATAGAGGCATCGCCGTACATGTCTGCGCTGCTATTCAGCAACCGAGACTCCACGCAAAAGGGAAAAATATCAGCTTCCTCTCTCATAGTACGAGACCTCCGCTCTGAAAATGAATCAACGTCAGATGCAAAACTTATATAGGTGGAGAAACCATCTGGGCTCGTCTCTTGAGCCCGGACCGCAATCTCACTGATGGAATCGTTTCTTAGGTCTCGGGACATCACCGTTACCAAACCGATTGTCCTCTGCGTGTCTGTGTTGTGCGCCACCACAAATGTCTGGTTGCTGTAGCACATCTCGGTCTTGACCATCAACATGATTCGTTGAAGAGGCTCCAAAAGCAAGAAATAGGAGATGAGCACAACCGAGACCAGGCAACTAAAATGCACCGCAGATTCCAGTTGACTTCTGAGGTGACCTTTGCTGACGTGCTTGGGCTTTAACTTCCCAAGCGTCTCCTGAATCTTGGCTGGTGTCATGCCGACGAACAGGAACTCGTCAATATCCAGAATTGCGTTCAATGCGACAGCATTCAGCATGAGGTCCTGGATCGACGTTGTGCGAGCCAACCACAGAATACCACCGACCAAGAGGATGCAAGCAATTACTGCTCTTGCCAAGCTCATCACGAGGATCATACACCGCCGTGCACAAGACAAACTGCGGAATCTGTTTCTCTGGACAGACGTCCTGTGCAGGAGCCTGCGGGCAAAACTTGATCGAATATGGGCATGCGCTCTTTCTGGGACATGACTTGTGGCTGCAGAAATAGCTACAGCTTTCCCACTAGCCTGCGTTGGACGGTCTATCTGGGAACCCGCAGAATCTCAACACCCCCTTCTGAACCTTGGATGTCCTCTGCGACGTCGGAATGGCACAGGCAATTTCTGCCTGCGTCCATATCAACCGGAACTCCTCCAGGCAAGCGGCCAGCTCTCTGCTTGAGGTCTCGGGTTCGGGATTCGGGTCTGGAAATAACTTCGGGGCTGATCAGTGATCCCAGTGGTGGTAAGCACATTCTTTGCACCGAAACCCTTCCCACAGCATTGGACCTTGTACACGCACAGTGTCCACAGGACAATGCAGAGCATGGAGAGCAGAACGCCGGGTTGGAACGTCCCAAGCACGAACTGCGCCCTTTCCAACCCAAGAAAACCGTTGATATGCTCGATCAAAGTTGCTTGCGTCGTCGAGAGAGGGCCTCATCGCCCAGACACACTCGCGACACCAGGCTTGTGTCGGCCAAGTCCAGGTGCCTGAAGTCGTGTGCCACACTGTTGCGCCAGACCTCCGCGGCACGAACCTTCGTCTCAAAAGTATCGCCGATGAAGGCACGCGTAAGCAGAATGGCCGTGAAGCACGATTGCATGGTCAGGTCGAGCAACACGAGCAAGGTAGCGAAAAGGCTGTGAAACCACCCAAGGGGGAGCTCAGCAACACCCAATAGCAAAGGCACTGTCCAAATGCTCTCTTCAAACCGAACTTCTGTCATTTCTTCTGCCACTTCTCCTGGGCACTCTAACAACTACATTCAACTAGATTCCAACAATGGATGGCCAACCTATGGAAAACAAACAAGCATGATTACTGAAAAACAATCTCCTTTCTGATCATCAGCGACCGCCACCTCAACATTGGATAGCTTCTCGTTGATCGCGTTCGCATTAGCATTGGAAGGACTCACAACCGACACTGACCCGGAACTGAAGCGGTGCACAGGGGGCCCAACAGGTCCATTAAGCTGCCGTTCCACATCGTCGAGTCGCGAGCGTAGATCATTAAACTCAAGTTGAAACTCCTGCCGCAGTCTGGCAAGTTGGCTCTCGAACGAGTCTTCGACATCGTGAAAGGTGCACACCGGCATATCGACTTCTGTGACCTTGACTTCACCCTGCGGGTCTTGCTCTTGCTGAAAATCCACAGTGATTAGCTGGCCGCATGCCTTCCGCGTCGCCATGGCACATGCCCCACGGTGCAGAAGACCAATTAACAAGCTGTGTAAGTGTAAACGGTCAAGTAGACTGACTTGCAAGCAGAGAGCCAGAGACGTTGGGCCGATGTAAGGTGCGCGGAATATGCAACAGCGAAAATTGAGGGATTGCCGCTACTTGTAGCTCATTTGTGTGTAACCCAAATCTCACCCGATGTCCAATGACCCGCAGGGCCGCGAAACAATTTGGAAAGATCATGAAAGATCATCTGACTGTGTAAGAAATGGAGCTCTTCTGAGGTGTGTGGCAGAAGCACAAGCAAAGCGTGAATCTTCGCATCCAGCGCGGCATTCTCCTGAAGCAGGTTTGCAGATGGTTCGAAGAGGCTCATCCGACCTAACCTTCCTGCTGAACCTAAAATGCGACGTGAGCTATAGTCTAAACTCCTAGTATCCCCTTAAAAAACCCTATCATCCCCTATATAACCCCCTACATAATCCCCCTTTAAGGAATCTAGATTATAGCTCACGTGGTGTTGTGATCCAACAGCCAATTGAGAATGTGCTGCTTGGAGGCCACGCCTCGCGCGTCAGAAGATCTCGGTCTTTTTGAGGGCCCTCAAAAAGGCTGCTGTACCTCAGGTTTAGGCTTATAGGGCTTTAGGGTTAAGGGTGCAATCAGAAACTACAGGAACAAAGGATTGATGCTTCTCTCACACAAGTGGAAATTGTAGCATGGCAGCTCAACCTGCCCTACTGTCTGGATAGATTCCAAGCTGCGAAGCGATATCCGGGTCCAAAAGCGACGCCTTCATCGCAGCAAGGTTGCTGAGCCCTTTAGAGTAGCGTGACAACTTTGAAGCAGGCTATACTGGTGCACGACCTTCAGAACTACACATGGCGGCACAGGCAGAAACCTGTTGCCCGCATGAAGGAAGACCACAGCTATGAGTAGACCTCGTCAATGCCACGCAAAGCCAGCGCTGCAAAGACTTCCGGGTCATGCCGCTTTGCCTCCTGCAGTAGTTTGCATGGTCTTTTCCATTATCCCACTATTACCCCAAGATCAACCCCATTACACTCTAGTGGCCTTTGCAAAAACTGCGAAGCTGCAAAACAAATCCGCATCAAAAGAGCAAGCAGTCCTGGGGCGTGAACAGCACGGAGGGAGGTGCTGTCCTCTTTGGCCCCAAGGATGCAATGCCTGGCGCATTGCAACTTCCACTGTTTTGCAAGATCCCTGCTTCTATAATAGTAGTTTCCATTTTCTTTTCATTATCCCAGTATAACCCCTATATAGCCCCAATGTTACCTATAATATATACCCCATAATTATAGCTTCACCCCCCCTACTCTGGGGCCCTGGCCATGCTCCTGCCGGAATGCTGCAACTTGCTTTGCAAGGAGCGTCGTCATGGCCCGGTCCGATGACAGTGGATCTCCATTTTACAGCTAGGTGTAGCAACGAAATTCTGGCTCCAGTGCTGGGTTTGTGCTGCTTTTGCTGGTGCACAAGTCCACACCCAGCTCTGAAACGCAACACCCAAAAGTGATGTGACGCGGGGCCGGTAAAATCTCAATGCTGGCCTAAGATCTGAGCAGACATTGCTATATTGTACTATAATCTACTATAATATACTATAATATACTATAACATGCTCTAATCTAATGTACTATAAGTGGAGAGGGAGTTGTGCAAAAGTCGCCGCATAAATGGCCATGGGATGTTGAAGCATGGTGCAGCAAGCTCCTTTGTCCTGGCTTGTGTTGGGTTCATTGATTGGAAGGCAGGCTGAAATTATTTACCGTAGATTTGCCTCTGCACCTCGTCTCAAAAATACCCACATGAGCTACCGTCTAAACTCCTAGTATCCCCCTTAAGAACCCCTATAGTAGTCCCCTATATAATCCCCTATATAACCTCCCTTTAAGGAGTTTAGACTATGGCTCAGCATGTTCTTGGCTTTTTCTTTGTGCGGCTTGTGGCGAGCTGGAGCCTCGCTGGCTCGAATACAGAGGCATTGGCACTTGTGCCCCGCCTCTCAGGAGAGACACATGCTTCGACCGGGGCCCAAGACCCATTAACAAGCTGCGTAAGTGTAAACGGTCAAGTCGGCTGACTTGCAAGCAAAGAGCGAGAGGCGTGGGTCCGACATAACATGCACGGAATACGCGACAGCGAAACTTGAGGGATTGCCGCTAGCTTATTTGTGCGCAACCCGAATCTCACAAGATGTTCAGTGCATTTTTCAAGCCCGTTTCTCTCCCGCTTCTGCAGATCTTCACAGGACCCCCGGCCTCCTGGAACACTCCGTGTAACAGTGTAACACAAGACTGGTTGCGGAGTCTGGAATCCTGGTCATAATCTTTCGAGAAAAGGCTTCCCAACCAAGAAATCCAAGGCCTTTCAGGGCCTCTAACGCTCCCGCCACGCATGACATACTACATCAACACTAAATTTGGTTGCAAAAGCGAATAAGGCCTCGCGCACCTTGTAAAAAAGGCCCTTGAAGGACAACCTTACCTGCAGGGAGCTCCATACCTGGCCTACGAGGGAGGCTGGATCGGCCACGCGGTCGATCTGCCCTCCAAGCACGTACGCTGACACTTGGACGCGGGGACGTTGCTCCAGGATGCGTAGGCGCTTGTTGGCGCAGGGCGCCAGCCTGCCCGCTTCTTGCTGATGAAGCATCTTCCTGACACTATCCCTATGGGATACTATCGGTGTTGATGTGATAGAACACTTCAGCAAGGCTGGGTCTGAAGCCTTACGAAATCTTACGAACTTAACATGGTCCTGATTGCTCCAGCCCTCTCTTCCTCAGCATCAAATGTCCATTCCTCATAGTCCAACTGGGCCTCGGTGAGCGCTACTCCTCGGAACTTTGCCCACTCAATCACCTCCTGTGGCTTCAACTCGCCCAGGCTGCCGTCAACAACGGTGACCCTGAGCAACACCATGCCGGAGCGAAGGCGCTACGTCTGTGTTGGGAATGACCTCCAAACGACTCAACTGTGACTTGAGCAATGGCTCTATGTCGACTGTGAATCGCAGGTGCCCCGTTGTCTAGACGGCCAGGTGCGCATCACGCATGACTCATACAGCTTTTTTTGCCGGGGTTGCTCAATGAAAGCAGCGTGCAGAACATGCATATGTACAACGGACTTGACAGACCGAGAATTAGCGGCCCACGGCTCCGGGAAAGGGTTTCTTCATCAAAGTTTTTGGCTGATTGTTCATATTGTTAGGACATATCACTGTCTGCTCCGCATGTGAGAAGCCGTTTCCCACCAGCCCCTTGGGCGGATGTTTTTTTTTGGACGGAAACTTGTCTGGTACGTGATGCTGAATCCTGCCCTGGAGGAGCGCCAGGATCGGGCTACGTGCATACCTGCAAGTCTGCGATGCCAACTATTCTGGGGTCTTTACTATGGGGGCTGCAGTCGCCAAATTCCTCCTTTTACAAGTCCAGGGTTCCGCGCTAGGCAGCAGCAAATTTGGGTTTCGGGTTTTGGGGTTGGGGGTTTATGGTTTCGACGTCGGTGGTGAATGACGCCAAAGTCACGAACCGTTCGAAAATGTAAAATAATCTGAGGTCTTGGAAGTAAAGTTGAAGGATTCCGGATTTGATTTGGTGTTATAAGATTTGAGCATCTAAAATTTTGGTTTTAGGGCGGAGGAAAATGGATGTGTTTACGGGTACGGCCAATTAAGGTTGACTAGATCAAGGCCCGCAAAACTCCTAAACCATTCCGAGTCACATGGTTTCAGGCGATTGGGGTCTGAGGTCTTGTAAGCTGGTCAAGAGTCCATTGATACTGAAAACCTCCAAGACAGAATGCTCCCCATATTTCATAATGCTACTTTGGTTAGAATATTTGTTCTTAATATAACATCATTACTGATTACTGTTAGGGCGAGACGTAGCTTAACGAAAAGGTGGAGGCTTTTCTCTTTACTTGACATGCTGTTTGGAACACGGGCTCTAAGACCCTGCAAGTGTGTAGAGCTACTGAAATTCAATACACCTTGAAGCGAAGACCCCCATATCCAAACTCTACCTTTGGGATTGCCCATTACCCGCCCTTCTGGGCAATCAGGTGGCCGCTGCCTTTGCCGACTCCAACCCTGCCGACCTTAAATCTGACCTGCCCCTTGCTTGCTAAAAGTCTCTGACCCCCCACAAAAAAACTCCAAACCCCAAACGCTATTAGCCCATGCAGCAGAAAGACCTCAAGCCCTGAGCATACAGCACCCGAACCCTAAACCCGGCTTAGCGTATAGCCCAGCTGTCAACACTGAATTATGACTACATTGACTACATTTGCATTGGAGTGCAACTGATTTAAGATTGCAGGTGGGTGATCAAATGTGATAATGGGTCAAGAAAAATCTGACAAGGGATGACAAATTGCCCATGGTTGAAGCGCTCAGAGAGTTTTCAATCGCGCTACTGGCTGCCATGGAAAAAGCATTACCAAACAACATGATCCGAACAACCTACCATACTGCCAACATGGCGATGACATGATGCTTGTTTTTTTCCGCAAGCATGGGTGGCCAACAAAAAAGTGGCGGGGGGGTTTGGGGGGGCGCAGTCCCCATCTGCAAACAATAGGTCCGAACAACCTTCCCTGACTGCAAACATGATGATGACATGATGCTTTTCTTTTACCACAAAAGCGGTCTTTCTTTTTTCCCCCTGATTTCTGCGTCTCCTTGGTGTTTCTTTCTATCTCTTGTCGCGCGTATTGTTCTGCAATTCGCTCTTCTCTCGACTGAAAGCCCTCTTTGTTTGCAAGACCTCCAGCAAGCCCTGGGAGGCGTTGGGAGGCCAGAGAGACGCTGGGAGGTGTTGGGAACCGCTGGGAGGCCCTGGGAGGATTTAGGAGGCCCTAAGCAATGGGAAAGTTCTGGGAGGCCTGGAGAATTTAAACATTGTTTTTGGCAGCCACTTATCAAGTTTCCATCTTTTGTCAATTTTTTTTTGCCGATCCCTTGCTGAATCTGTTTGATGCTTCTCCCTTAAGTCACCCTGAACCTCCAAATTCACAGAATGTAGAATTCAAAGCAAGCTTCAGGCAACTGGGTTTGCAGCTTAAAGTTTGGATCGGCGCTCTTCCAGCAAAGCCGAGTGCCTGATGCAAAATTTAACTATGCGCGCGGGCTTAGGCCAAAAAAAATCTCAAGCCCCGCGCTTTAAACTGGTCTATGCGCCGCAAAAGCTGTCACTAAACCAGCTTTAGTCGATCTGAAAGTAAAGTCAGACAGCCCTAATTTCGCAGTTTTGGATTAGGGTTGAAAAGGGCGGGGCCAGCAGACGTTTCACGCCTGAAACGCCTGCATATGGGGTAGGATTTGTGACCGTGGCCTTCGGGGCGGATGTAGCTGATCCTGTGGCTCTTACACTGCTTTTGCTTCAACCGCAAGCACACGCGAAAAACCCAAGATCAACATTTGCAGACCGGGTGTTAGGGGTGTTTCAAGGTTTTGGGTGTGGTGCTCCGGCATTTTAAGCTTTATGGTTTTTTTCGTCTGTAGTGGACGCATAGGATGCCGAAACCTTTGCCCACGTCGCTTTTGAGGAGAAGTACACAGATCCAGGGAACGCTGACGTACGTTGTCCAACGTGAAAGCACGTCCGCGGTTCGTCGTCCTGAAAAGCGAATTGTTCTGGCCGGCTAGATAGGCGTTGCTCCGCAAGACGGCTGACAACTACGCGTGCAAGCGCTCTGCCCATGTGACTTGGCTCGCTAACGAAAATCCACGCAGCGCGTGCGAAAGAAGAATAGGAATGCCCAGGGCGCATTTTTTGCTCCGCATGCGCTCGGCTCCTGGCAACCTCGCGCGCCGTGTTGCCATTGAACAAGGCCTGGTTCTTTCAGATGTCCAGCGTGGCCTTCTCCTTCTTCTCGGGAAGCGAACGCAGGCTCCCGCTCTCGTCATCCTCCGGCCACGCTGAGAGCTCGCCCCACGGCCTTGATCGCGCTCGGCCCAAACCAAAGTTGTTGCCGTTCGTGGCGGCGAACAGCGTAGTAGAGATCAGATTCAACTTAGCGAATTTAAACTCCTTGGCCTGCTTCAGCAGCCTGCCACGCAGCCACTCTGCAATCAGTTTGGCGGCGCTCAGATACTCATGCGCAGGACGGGTCACCATCATCCTGCCACCTCGAGCCCTCAACAAGCCCAAGGAAGTCGCTCTTCGCGAACTTCTGGCCTTCCGGCATGACCTTCATCCTGAAGCGATTCTTGGAGAATCTCCAGGTGTTCAGGATGTGCGCGACCTCTTCCGTGGACACCGGACATCTTTGCTTTGCGGCTTTTTTTTAAAGATCTCGTCCGCCCCTCGGTTCGCTTCCAGCCGGTGGGCTTGCACAAGCACACTCTCCACACATCATTTCTCAAGAGCAAACTGCCATCGCTCCAAGTCGTACCGGCAGCAGAACTCTCTGATGGACCAGGCTTCCAAGGCTTTGTCCACCGCAGTGGCCTGGTTGTCCCGCTGAACGTGGCGGTCGGCTCCTGCTAACAAGTCTTCCGGTGACTTTATGGAACCATGGTCGGAATCGAAGATCCACTCGATCGCGTACGAGCCGAGTGCGAACGACTGCCCAATGGTCTGCGCCGCGGCGTAGCGGTCGTGGCGGAGCTGATTCAGCTTTAGAGCTCAGGGTTAAGGTGCAAGCATTGGTCAGAGTTTAGGGTTTAGGGTTGAATGGTTCTGCAGGCACATGTGGGCTAGGTAATCATGGTACGAAGCACTTTTGTCATCTGGAACAGTAATTACACAAGACTATGGGATGTTACCTGGTTGACCCTGCTTTTCCCATCCTACAACCCCTACCAAACCCTGGCTCCCAGTTTCCACTTTCAAAATCGCTCTCGTTTGTTCGGGTATATGGCCCTGAAATCTAAATTAAAGGCCATTTAACCAAGCTTGTAAAACATATAAAGGTTCTATATGGCCCTGAGATTTCAATTAACGGCCATTAAACCAAGCCATGCAAAGGGACTCAACCATATAAAGGTGTTGTATGGCCTAAACCATACAAAGGTGTTATGTGGCCCTGAAATTTAAGTTAAAGGCCATTACACCCTAAACCCTTAACCATAAATGGCCCCAAATGGTGTTTATATGGCCTTTAGTTTATAGACCCTAAATGCCTTTATATGGCCTGAGGGTAGAAAGTTACAAACCATATAAAGGTGTTGTGCGGCCCTGAAACGTAAATCTAAAACCGTGTTGGATGCCTATGCAGTTCTTCTAAAATGGTTTAGGTTTTGGGAGAGTGGGAGGGAGTGGGGCAAGCCTAAAAGACCAGCAAAATTCACGTGCTACTCCTGAGAACCCTTTCACTGCGGATCTGTTGGTTCCTTCTTACGTTGAGGACGTGCAACGTGGCCGAAAGTGCAAGTGGCTTGCATGGTTTCCATGCTCAGGAATGCCAGCCCATCCGCTGCCTCCGCAGAAATGGGTTCCCAAGGCTGCTCCAGTTCATGCAGCGCAGTAATGTAGACCCCCTGATTGATAAACCCCCTCCCCTTAATGGGGATTTTAATAGAGATCCGAAGATTAAGGCCCTTAAACAGAGGGGGTGTATTTATCATGGGCCTACATTAGCTGTAGCTTGTTGGGAGGGAAGGGATCTTCGTAGTGCAGCCCGGGCGCCGCTCAGCACGGGCCTGCAAAGCACCGCGCAATTGACAAATTTAGCTGTTTGCAGGATAAGAAACCAAGGCCTTCTGCGATCGAGCCACACAGCTCTCCAATTCGGAACAGCGGTCCTACGTGATTGGAGATAGAACAGCAATACTAATGATTCTAATAGTACCATCTCGTAATACTGATATTCATCCCAAATGCTGTTTGGAGTTCTGAAGGCTCACGAGTTGCCACAGTCCTCGATGGAAAGCGGCCGGGCGATCTGCAGGCTTGGGCCTCAAAGCAGCTGGCATAAACACGAAGATGCTTGCCACCATCCACTCTGCCCTACCAAGAAATGCACGACGCAGCACCAAATCCAATTCTCCAAAATGCCCAACGATGGAAACGCAACCAATGCTTGTAGCATAGAAACAGATGAAGACACCGGATCTGCTCGGAAAAAGCCTGAATGCTAACAGAATCCAAGAGAGCTTGAAAGCCGGCAGAGCACGCAAATGGCAACAGTTCCGCATGATCTTCCCTAGGAACCGAGCGAGCCCCTGGGGAGTAGCTGTGTGCCCGCTGTGGCCGCTGTGGCCGCGGACTCCTCCAAAATCTTCGATCCATTTCAAACTAGAACATCGTGAAGCCTTGAAACCTTCCGCAAATCACAGCTGCATGGTTCTAGTATTCTAGCGTTCCTTCTGGGACTTAGGCGTGGCCGGCTGGCCACCTGCCCGGTTGTCAGGTGCCAGGAAGATGAATTTTGAAGGAATCTGAACCTCGGCCACGGCAGCCGCGGCTTCTGCATCATCGCCTGCCCTGCAAGGTTTCGTAGCTTCAGATGCTTGCTGCACCTTGACTGGGCACTGCGTCCTTGAAGCCTCAGCCAGGAGCTCCGCCACGAGGCTGGGCTCCTAAGTAACGGGAAGAACGGGAAGATTCCTCGGGGACGCATGCGACTCCGAAGGCTCCTCAAACTCCGAGTCCGCACGCTCTGTCGATTGTGCAACCTCCGGGCCTTAGGAGGGTGCAAGATCTCAACAAACGAATCGTTCGCACAAATGTACGAGAGCCCCCGCTGGCAGCAGGAGATGGAGCTGCCAGAGGCCTCGAGATATCTGGGAAGAGCTTCTGGGAGATAACATGAGACTCCACTGAGCGCGGCTCGCAGGGCTGGAGAGAATGCCAGAGTGCAAGGAATGACCCAGGATCCCTGCCGCATGACTTACACCAAGGAAGGAACGCGACTTTCAGAGTGTTGTTGCCTTCCGGCAAGGATCCTGAGCCTGCGCAGAAGAACAAACCGGGGTTGGGCTTCTTCAAAGACTTCAATTCTGGTGTGAGGCTATGGATCAGGAAGCTGGCATTCAAAAGCTTGACGCATCCTGTTGCCGGCCTTCCAAAGCTTGTCGAGTCAGCGTCAACTCCTGCAGAAGGTAGTGCCTTAATGTTGGAATTTGTTCAAGGGTCGTAAACCATCCCAGCTTTTCGTCAGATGGAGCCCACAAGAAAAAAGAAACAAGACAATGCCTTGAGGAACCTAAACTTGCATCCGGCTAGATGCATATGTTAGTCACCAGTAGTATTACTATGCTATATACTATGCTAGAGTACAATATGCTATAATAGACTATGATATACTATAATGTGCTATAGTATACTATGGTATACTATACTGTACTAGAGTAGACTACAGTAGTGATACTAGCTAGTACCAGTGTCCATGATGTGTCGGGACTCGGAACCGGGCCAGGAAGCTCCGCAGCTCCCGCGCTGCGCCTCCTCCGCAACAGCCCTGCTCAGGGCTCAGGAACTTGGCAGGTGATCTCAAGGTGCTTAGAATCTCTTACGTGGATAGAATTTGGGGTACGTGGGGATCTTAGTAAGGTCAGTATGTTGGTGAGAATCCATTTTCTATCTACTCACGGGGAACCATCTCCATGCTTGGGTACGGTGATGCAAAAAGACTTGCGCCTCTGCAGACTCTCCAGCGCGATGAGCTCCTTGCCTGGGCTCCATGAGGCTTCATGTCTGGCAATGGGCAGGTTGCGTCATGCAAAGTGCACATCACACGTTTTGAAGCATGCGCCGGCCGAGCAAACTCATTAGCAGAATTCTGGACCTACGTTGTTTGCCTTGCCTGCGCTGTCACTTCTCAGGCAACGCATGCCGGCACTTGTGGCCAATTGAAGCACTGATGTTCCGTATGTACATTACCGCTGCCAGGCCACAGACGAAAACCCGAACACCCCCCTCAACGTGCTGCTCATGCAAGCGCACAACACCTGTACAAAAGCAGATCGGAACCACTGCTATGAAACGCCGGGTATGGGCCGCGTCTGGACTACAGATTCCTGCGAGGGAAAGACGAGGTTTTTAGGTCTTGAAATCGACCGCACGAGCGCCCTTCCCAAAAGCAGATTCACAAGCCAAGGCAGCGCCGGTATGCAGCTCTGGCAGCCTGGCAGGGCGAGAACACAGTTGTCAGTCAGTCCTTTCTCGCTTGTTATCCGAGTTCAGAAACCATGGGCGCCTAGTATGGTACACATACCTGTTGAAGACCCTCCAGAGCCCAACAAAGCCAATTAAGGGCCCATAATTACAACCCCCGAAGAACTGGTATGTTAGGAACCCATGATAGGAAGCTGCGGGAGGCGGGGCAGTTATGAAGCTGCAGCTACGCGGCTCTGCATCGCTCGGCACTGGTTACGAAACACCAGGCGTCGGACTCCTCCCTGCGCCCTCTGCGATCATCCCTCTGAGGCATTGGCTCAGGCTCACTCTCTGAGCATTCTGAACATTCTGAGCACCTGTATGGACAGCTGGCTGAAACCTTGAACCATCGGCTCAGGCAGGTATGATGGAAGTTGTGGCCGCATGGCAGGCGGCAAAGATCCACTTTGAGCTTCAAAGTCTTCAAGCTCGCAAGGCTTTTGGCATCCTTCACCACAGGCGGAGGTTCGGAGAGTTCGGAGGGTCGTGGCATCTGCTCCAAGCAGATTGCGCAACATCTGTCAGAGGGTGATGACAGTGGACTCTCATCTGGAGCCTTCTGTCGTGGCCGGTGCCGTTTGTGACTGCATAGGGCCACAGCGACAAAGACCATGAGTAGAAGCCCACCCATGCAGGTGGGATTCTCTAGCGTGCTCTCCGGCAGCATCATGGCGAGGAGCACCCCTGAAAGATGAGAATTACACGAGACGCCTCAGCAAGGGATTGGACTCTTACTGGGCTGAGACCACAAGGCCAGTCTTGTCGGCAGCTTCGTGGTGTTTTGGGCTCTGCTTTACTTGGAGGACACATAGAGACGGGCTTGACCTGCACGCTTGAACCCTAACGGCATCAAATGTCTCCACATTCATGTAGTTTGAGGACAGTTGCGTGTGCAGGGTTGGTTGTACCTCGCTCAAGGTCCCAAGGCCTGGGCTCGGATGTGATCCGCGAGCCACCTTTTTTCGGCACCTCTGGGGGCTGGAGGCTGCTACAGCATGCTACAGCATAGAAATCAGAGAAGTCATCAAACTGGGCGGCCCGCTTTTTGAGTAAGGAGACCTGGACAAGAGCAAACTCACAGCCTAGGACTACAATGAAGATAGCCAGGCAGGTACCAGCTCACGAAAAAGAGCCCGGAAGTCCGGAGAAGCCTCGGGAACAAGAGAGACCGTGCACGCTGTGATAATCTGATAATCCTCAGAAAGTGCTAAGCCCCCACGCCGGCTGTGATGAGAGTCGGCATGGCGTGGGCAGAGCGCAGATTCCCGCACCAAAATCCTCAGAAAAGCTGTGAAGCATAGATCGTGGATCGCGGATCAGCTTGAGCTTTAGGGCAGAGTCTGGGCTCCAGGCCCAAAGCCCTTGCGTCATGGGTAGTGCCATCGCAAGAGTCGGCTGGCAGCCCATCCCTGGGTGTGGCCAGGGCAATGGCCTGAGCTGCTAGCTGCAAGTTTCCTCCGGTTCCAACCTTCCTGCTCATCTCATCTGCCTCTCTCTTGGCTGAAGCGGAAGCTGTGGAGCAAGTCGTGTCTCAGTCTCTGAGATGAAAGCACCTTCTCATGCTCAAACCCTCAGAAAAGGCAACTGGAGGGGCCACTGCCAAGCCTGCACTGGATCCGCTCTTCAACGAGGAGGGCGACCTTGACACTTCTCTGTACCGCGCATTCCAACAGCGGCCCATCACTCAAGCGTTTCTCTTGCAACAAAATCCCGGGCTCTTCCCTCAAGGGCGCCAGCGCGGGGCTCGGCAAGGTGTCGCAGGACCTTGGGGCGGGTTCCGTCACTGAAGTCTGTATACATGCTCTTGAAGTATATCTCAGGCTGCAGCCATGACCCTGCAGCCTGCAACACAAGCTTGAGGCTTAATGAGGCTGAATCTGCAAATATGAGCTGTCGCCCTTGAGGGAAGAAGAGTGAGCGGAGTCGAAATATAATTGACTTGGCACACTTGGGTTTGGAATTGTCAGTCCTCTGATGCCAAAACTGCTCGTTTCAACCAGTTGTGGGAGGTATTGTCGGAGAACATCAAGATGAAGATGACAGATGCCGCGGGTCCCGAAAAACCTCAACCCAACTTGCATTCTGGGTGAAGGCAACTCCACCTTGAGACAACCTGGGCATGGTCTTGCATCTCGAAGTCCTATGATTCCGTGAGGTGGAGCTGCCAGTGCACACAACCCTGTTTACGTATGCTGGACGTGCCTCTGGCGAGAGTACCGGAATGCCACCAACGAACATGGGCAGAAATCTGGCACCCACCTGACACCAAACAACGGCAACACATTATGGGCAAGAAGTTCCGAAGGACAGCTCTGCTTCCGCCTCAGGACTGTGATTTTGTTTTTTTCGGAGCTGAGATGTCGGCTCGCAACCAACCGTCTCCTTCATCGATGCCTGCAACCTGTGCAAGGGGTGCAAAACTGTTGGTTGTTATACATGGTCTGATGAGTCTGAGGCCAGGTCGCAGCTTCCCCACAAGGCCAGTGCTCCAGGAATCATATCCTGGCAAGCTTCAAGCAGATGGCTAATTGAAACAACCCAAGGACACGCTGTTGGATTTAAGGCAGGTCTACAAGCCACGCCCAATTCCCGTTGCCTGCAGGTCTTTCGTCCTCCGAAAGCCCAGGCCTCAACACCAAATGAAATGCCACCCTGGCTCATGGACTGCAAGCTCAGCCCCAAAGCGCAAGGGCCTTTGGAGTCCGCCCTGAGAAAACCGTTGTCCACCCGGAAGCGCTGGCCCCGCACGTCCTTCCGCAGAAATTCCGAACTTCAAAACGCAGTGAACATCCCAAGTGCGGGGGCGGCTGCTACATACGACACAACATGAAATGAGAGTCTCTCAGTCCATCGCATTCATCGCCTTGGCATCCTTGCCTGGGAAGCCCATGACTGCGATTGTTCTGATTGATGCCGTGTAACAAGGACAAGCCAACATCCGCAAGACAGAGCTCAGGAACCATCCACCACCGCCTCGCAGCCTCAGACACGTGTTGTGTATCAAGAAGATTTTTCAACCACCCTTGTTTAATGTAGTTGTGTCAGCATTGACAAAAAGTTTCTTGAACGCGAAGAAAGCTTACAAGCAATCCCGAGATTCAAAAGTTGCTGCCGATGGCCAAGGAATTTCTTAGGCAAATCCCTCTAACTTTTCCTACAAGGCTTCATGCTCTTCAGCCTGATTAATCAGCATTATGAGGGGCCCTACTGATTACTGAATGGTATTTAAAACCCCATTGTATTCTAATATGCGCATTGGCATTGACTACTGCTGCAATTGCGGGCATCCCCACATGCCTTCATGTTACGTTCTGTTCTGTGGGAATCCAGGATGCACTCATCTTTCAGGGCGGTGCCGCCCTCTTTTGCCAGGCACTCCAATTGAACTACACATCGAGGACTGCGAAACGATAAAGTGCAAGGGTCCGTCTCGAGAGTAAAATGGCCCCGGCAGTCACAGATGCATCGCTCTCAATGTCCGGCAGAGGCTTAATCATCCCCTACAATTTATTTTGTTGCTAAAAGACATGCGAGAGAGGTGCATCTGTCACTCCCTTGTGAAACAGGACACGTGCAGCCCAACAGCGTGTGCTGATTGGAAATAGCTTGGTAAGAAATCTGACGCTCAAGCACACGCCACAGTACACTCCCAGCGGGCAAGTCAACGCGGCCGAAAGTAGTGCGGGACGGTGCTCGCAGGGCTGGATGCTTTGGAATAACTGTGTCATTTCTGGACTTGGAGCCCGGCGGTTAGGGCTTCGGGTTTGAGGTTGCAGCTTGGTTTGCGGCTTTCGGCTGATAGACCCTCAGACCAGGGGCCCCGACCGGCTGTGCAGCTTGTGCAGATGAGCCTTTAGCCAAACAAATCAAATCGGCCAGGCACTTTACACCCCTGGGAGGATCTATAAGAAAGTAGATCCCCTTGAGGGTTCCTTGAAATTGCCCAGCAATAGTATAGGGTACCATATTAGGGCGCTACGTCCTAGATCCTCCCAGGGGTCTAGGACTCAGGTCAAGCTTGGCTGCCGACCACTGCCGCAGGTCGCAGGTCAGCCACCTCCTTCAGCTTCGTTGCTTCATTCGACTTGAAGTTTAAACCCTGAAGGCTTGTACCCCTCCCGGTTTTTGAGGGTGCAAATCCTAAGGGCGCAAATATACACTCCCAGAAGGGAAATCCCCAGTCGTATAGGAGATTTGATCATGCATGCTGCGTGATTTCCAGTACGAACACGCTGCTGTAGAAATCAAAATGGCCTCCGCAGCCTTGGGGTGAGCTGAAATTGCCTTGGCCAGGACTCCACAAGCAGCTGGGAGGTTTTCAAGCAGACGTCCTGTTTTTTCTGAGAAATCTTGTCTGAGTTCCTGCGTGCACTGCAAGGGATTCCTTGAGGCTGGCATTTCTTGTTTGCGTTGCTTTACACAAAAAACATAGACAGCTCAAGGCACGTTTGGTTCTGGTTGGCCGCCCTGGTAAAAGTTCATTGCTTGCGCGCGCGCCATTATCCGCAGAGCTTGCAAATGAGCACCATCAGGAGCCATGGATGGCGACATGGCCCGTAGGCCCGACCAGGGCGGTAATCTGAAGGCTGGCGCGAATCACAAACCCTATAGATTGCAAACATGGCTTCTGGAACTTACTAGTAGTTTTTTGAGGCAGAGCCTCAGAAACGTGACCAGATAGTAGATTTCCTGCCAACGCACAGCAAAAAAGTCAGAAAAACATGTAGACGCCCGAAATCCAAAACGCCGAAGCCTTAGGTCTCACATGCTGCCATACTTCAAGAGCAACGATGGACCTAGGTGGCAGGCAAAGCCACGCGAACACCTTGACGATGACCTGGACCTGACAGAAGACTAATATGCAGGTTGGGTGATACTTTGCCTTGACTCGTGGTTCCAATGATGTTCCAGCTGCAACTTTATGTCAGGTTCTGCAGGGACTACCTGACCAAGTGCTTTCCACCGCACTCTGTGAGTTCAAGCTGCCCTTTTAGAATCACAGCTTCAAAGCAACCATGGCTAATTCTTGTCAAGTGCTCAAAATTCAAAGACCCGAATGAAGACACCATCTATAGAGCCCTGTGCTGACTCCGTGATTGCCACAAAGTAGCGGAAACGACCCAAGGTCAGGATGCGCCACAGCCGCTGCCATTGCCAAAGCTGGCGCTTTGCATGTCCACGAGCTGGGTGGCACAATGTAGGGACGAGAAAGTGGGTTGCTGAGAGGGCAGACAACTTGAGAAAAGCGTGACAAAGCCTGTCATGCTGCATAATGCTGCCGAGGCTACGCTACAGAAATCTTGTGATACTTGGCCTGGTGTGAAATTGGCAATAACGGCTTCGGCAACTGACGCGATAAACTCCCCGCCGCTGCATCCAAAGCTATGACGGAAAGCTGTGTCCTTCCACGAGAGAGAGACCACTTTTAACGGAAATAAGAACGCAATTCTAGGAACCGTGAGGGTTGCCAGCATCTTGCTCGAGCGCGCGGCCTCCTGAATGCAGCAGCACTTGTTCTGAGCTGCACACCCACACAGGGCAGGGACCCAAGCAGGCCGCCAGCAATTTGATGTTCAATTGAAATACTGCTGTCGACTTTTTCTTGGTCGGTACCGCACCCCAACTTAATTGCTACTCCATGGCTTCGGCATCCAACTCCCTGAGTTCATTGAAAAAACCCGGCAAAAGGAGCCTTTCTTTACGGCTGCGCGACGAACAGCCGGCCTGGAAAGGCATCAAAAAATGCTTCAGGTGTAGGTACCCATTGGGGTAATGTTGGGGGTATATTGGGGTTATATGGGGATAATGGAAAATAAAATGGAAACTAGCTTAGGCCGGCCTAGGAGTTCAAGGGCTGCGGTTTAGGGTTTGGGCTCCTGGGCCTCACAGAGCAGCCTTAGCCGGCTTAGATTTCAAGAGAGCAGACACCTTTGACACGACAGTGGCAACGCAGATGACCAGCCATCTGGCCTCTTTCTGGCTTGCCCGAACGGGCGCAGACTCTTCCAAGAAACGATCGCTGGACGCGCCTCTGCTTAGGTTGCAGGGAAGGCAGATCGCCAATCGGTTCAAATACATTGCTCTCAAAATGCAAGTGGATCCAAGGCAGCAATGCACATTTTGATCACCACGCTGATCTGAAGATCAGCCATCAGGCTTTGATGCCTCATCCTTGCAGGGTTGCACATCGAATCAGGCTGTCGCAGACGGAGAGTGGTCTATCAGTCCTGCTGCGCACTCGGTGCTGCGCCCGGCAAGAGGGGTTGACCCTTAACCCTCTATTCTATCAACCCTATATAATCCCTCATATTATCCCCTTTAAGCGGCTCAGACGATAGCTGCCAGAGTGAGGCTCCAAGGGCAAACTTGAGCTGCAGAACAGCCTGGCCTTCGCTTGAAGCAGAAGCGACCTGCTTGGATGCCCTCCTCGAAATGATGTGCTGGCTGCTTGTGAGGAGGGCTCCCAGCCTCCAAGAGAATGCAAGGAGCAACAATTCTGAAAAGAAGCAGAAGCATGCTGCAGCATGCTATGTCCTTCTACCTGTGTAAGTGCTGCTAGGTTGCTCGGACCGGTTGATACCCTCTGAGCGGCCCGGCTCTGAACCGGCAGCCGAAGCCAGAAGCTGGGAGACTTGCTCGTCGGTGATCTCGCAGCCCAGGGCAGCGAGACCTTCCTTGAGCTCCGTGGCAGTGACAATCCCATCGCGATTCTTGTCCAGGGCTTCGAAAACATGATCCACCTCCCACTGCGCCGGTGACTCTGAGACGAGACCCTTCTGTCTCAGGAAAGCCACCGTGCTGGCTGCCGGTTGCTGCACGGAAGACTGCACGGACCGTCCGCTGAGCTTGGCCTTCAGCAAGGTGAGAACAAAGGGGGCGTGAAGAAGGCAGGTCACCTGTCCAATCCTGCAAGCGTCTTCGATGCTGCCTCAGCTTCTAAGCTTCTTTCAGGAACTCCTGGCCACTCTAGACTCTCGCTCTCTAAACCTTAATCAACTCCAAATTAGCTGGGCTACAGGGCGTGAAGACCACCTCCCAACCAAAGCCTGTGAGGGTGCTGTACTGGTTCACGCAATTGAAGACAATAAGCATCCAATCCAGTAAGAACCAGAAGCCGAAGCCGCCCACGGTCAGTAGCTTCAAGGTTCCCAGGATGAAGTTCCCCACAAGGCAGTGGTCCACCCCACAGAAACCTAGGCCCAGGAAGACCACGAAGATCAGCATTACCTTGCTTTGGCCTCGGCACCGTTGCATCAAGCAGCTTGCAAGCACATATCCCCCTCAACCCATCCTTTTCAACTTATCACTGGGCGACGCATTTCAAGGACAAGAAGCTTCTGCGCTCCAGGTGCAGCTCGTACTCTGTCCCGGCCGAGCTGGAAGCCTGTGCCAACGAGGACGGGCCAGGCCCTCTCGCTTTCAGGGATCCGCTTGGAGAGGAGTTGTTCGCGCCGCTCGCGCTGCTGGCGTTGCTGGCGTTGCTGGCGTTGCTCCGGCTTCCGTCATCCAAGATGCTTTGTGGCATTTGCGGCAGATGCAGACTCCGCATCGCGAGCTGAGCTCTGACATCCAGCGAGCTGGCGGCCAAGTCCTCCGCCGGCCGAGTTGCGAATGTGAGAACGGTGAGATGGAGCACGAGGACTGACATGACGGACAGCTTAAGGGCCGCCATGGTTCTACAGCAGGCCCGAAGGTGGGGTTGCGCTCTTAGGCTCAAGCTTGAAAATGGAGGGGACTAGAGACAGAGCCCTTTTAAGGCGAGCGCATCCCTCTGATATGAAAACTCGCAAGGAAGGGACGCAAGAACCTTGAGCCCAGCCGTGGATCCGAAATCCATGCTTGGTAACGTACGAGAGACTATGGGCATTTTAGCAAAGCACTCCAAATGGTAGTTTCCATAAACCCTGGTGACCCAAGGCACAGACCCAAATTATATATGATCATCCTTTCATAGGAAACCCAAAATGGTACCCCTAATCTGGAGAAAAAACAAATCTCACAGGACGCTTCGCACTGCCACTGGCCAGACCTGAAACAAATCCAGCACACGGTTCTCCTTGACCACCTGTCACTGCTTTAACGTTGATTGACAAATAAAGACCGTTCGAAAGAGCAGCTCTGCATGTGGGCAGCATTGCCTGCGGCTCCAACTCCTCGGGGGTGCGCTCCCGTCGTACCTGCCAGCTGAGGAAGGTGCCAGCGCTAAGGGTGCAGTAGCGGGAGCCAGCTGCGGCTCAACGCAGACAGCTGGGAAGATCGGATGTGGCAAGAAGTGTGGAGGGCCCGGAGCGTCTTTCTCTCTCTTGCAGACATGCATGCTGCTGCCCACATTTGGCCCACAAGAGTGGCAATGTGGCGTTGGATGTGAGGGCATATGTAATGATGTGTCCGCTTGAACGTAGGGCCGACGTAGGGATCAAGACACAAACCCACCCATTTACTGTGGGGTTCACATGACATTGCACTGGTTCCCATCAAGGCACCTCACTGGGCGGCTTGGGGATGCCATGCTGCAAGCAGCCGATCTCAGCGTTGAAAACTTGAGCATCTTGCAACCCTCTGTGCTTCAAGTTGCATTCGACGTCTAAGCACCGCACCCCAAAGCCCAGTGTGAGCATGAGGACGGCACCACAGATCGCCGTGGCACTACCGCTCCTTGCATCTTGCTAACTCTTCCAAATTCAGGCACGCCCTTGTAGTCAAGTTCAGTCTAGCATGAGGAGCTGCAGCCCTGGCGGCTGGGGGCTTCATGTGTAGCAGGCATAGCACTGAGCTGCCTGTCCCTGCTATAATCATCCTGGGACCCCGGCCAGAAGTAATCACGAACATAGAGCTCAGCCCTGCCAAGAGTTTTCCGCAAGCCATGGTCTCGTGATTGCTCAAGGCTTGTGCAGGTTCATGGGCAGCTGCGGTGGCTCACCCCTTGCGCTTCAAACTTCGAGATAGGCTCTGAGAGGCCATGTTGTCGAAGGAGCAGCCTTGATCACAGATCTGCAGTTTCCACTGACAGTCCAAGACTTTCAAATCTGCAGATCATGCAGCGTGGACCCAGCTGCTGGAGCTGCTGGGTTCGTGACTTGGCATACCCATCCCAAGCGGGATTGAAAGGGCACACAGCCTCGTAGCTGCCAAATGCACTTCTTTCAAGGTGGAGGGCCCCAGAACACCAAGGCCGCAGCATCGCGAAAAGCTCTGCTGCCTTTTGACTCAGCCTACTACGCCTCTTAGAGCAAATCTTCAGCGAGGTAGTGATACACGGCGCCTCCAGTTTCACGCCCAGCGCCACCTGAAGGGACGGCGCCAGAAAGTAGTTCAACTGCCGTCAACAAAGGGACGTGCCATTGTCCGAGATCGTAGGACTGGCACAAGCAAGGGAAGCGCAATGACACCAGAAAGCTGGTGGCCGCAAAAGGTACCTGCCAAGCAACACTGAGCTGCCAGTCCCTTCACATCATGCGTAGCACAAATACACCTTGCGAAAATTGCACCCGTCTCAGCAATGACCCGATACTCTGGAGCAGGGAGGCCTACCCTACCAACCGGCAGCAGCCGGCCAAATCGTGAAGTACTCTCCCGAAGTGCCAGCTTGACATCCAACGTAAAAGATGCTCGTTTCACACACAACCCATTACAGCCTCCAGCAAGTGGGGTTAGTGTTTCAACTCTTGAGGTTAGAACGGACAGCTGAAAGCACGCCCAACTTCCAACACCAGCATGTGAGTCCAGAGATCCCAAGGTCTGAACTCACTTAGTGCCATGTACAGGCCAATCTAATTCGCTCCATCCACATCAAAGTCTCTGCGGCTGACCAAATATCAGAAGCGTGGAGATCACCAACGCGGTGAAGGGCCAAAACCTTGGCATTCTGAGGCCAGTCAAATACAAAGCTTCAAAGGAGTTCCCCACTCCGATTTCATCGACTCTGGTGCTAAAAAACGTCTCAAAAAGGCATTCTTGGCACTTGACGACAAGCTGCCAATGAGACCAGCCTGGCAAATAGCAAACACATATCTCTCAAAAGACTGTTGCATTTGACTTTTCCCACCCGTTTCCCGCCTGTGTCATGAGGGCGGAACCTTTGGCCGCCAGAGCCGTCTCTCGGACCATCAGCGCCATGACATTGGTGCCTCTCGCACGGTTGCGGGCCCTTGAAATTCCGCAGGTTTTCGAGGAGCACCCAACCTCCAACAATGGCCAACAAGTCCCACTCCAGGCAGAGGAACTCGTCTCCTTGGCAGCACAAGCGGCCCTGCTGCCTCCAACACAGACCTGCTTGCAGCCACGCGTGCACCTGAACTAATAGAAGAGCCTTAATTGCGATAAAGCGGGGATGCTTTCATCATTCAGTGGAGAACTTGAAGACACGCAATTGTCGGAAGACGGTGGAACTGAACCTGACCCGCTGAACCGAACTGTAGTGGAACCGAACAGAACTGTAGTGGAACCGAACCAAATGTTTTTCCAACTCTTGGGGAAGCGGGCAGCGGTGGGGCTCATTATTGCAGCCCACTGAAGCTGGGCAAAGGACAAAGTACTGCTGGCAACGGAGCTCCACGAGTTTGTTACACATTTGGCATGGTCGCGCATTCGCCCACTGAACTCGGCGACACATAACAGCACCCCAAGATTCGACAGCAAACGGTGCCTTGTTGGAGCTGGCCCTCAATTCAACCAGATAATTGCTGCATTCGGACTAGATCTTGGAGATGCGCGGGAGGGGGAGGGTTGGAGGGGGAAGGGGGGGCTGATAGCGGCTTGTGCTCCAAGCTCCAAGGACCACACGTGAGAGGAAGCCACTCCCGAAAGCAAGTACCTGGAGATTGTAGCGTGCTTCGAAGTCTCGGTTTATGTTGGTTCTGGTTTGACTGCGACAGTCAAGGATGACGCTACCGGCTCTGATGATGATGCAACGGCCCACTCATACTCTAATGAGCTGGGCTTTGCATGCTTTTGAGATGTGCATGGCTCCAAGCTGTCTGAGGCCCCAGCCACTACAGCGAGTGCAAGGATGGCCGGGTGGCCTCAGACGCCGTCAACCCAAAAGAGCTACCAGGCGTTCATAACATGGGCAGGACAGGCCCCAAAACTCATTTTACTGGGGGTCATTTGGGGAATTATATTATACAGGGGCTTTACGGGGTTTATCCCCCCCTAGTAAAAAAAAACTCTCACAGGATTCCCTCTGCGAGTGAGCTGCCCAGTACCGGCTCCAAGACCTCGCTCGCAGTAAAGCCACGTCAACTGGGTTTTTCGGAACTTACTTTCGATTACTATATTGAAGAAAACAGTTTAACTACCATATGACCATGTTTACCCATGATGATAACTTAATTTAAGTTCCTTAACAGCTACCCAGGATCTGCGCGGCTGAAAATTTACTGGTTCTTCGTAGGGACTGAGGGAATATCATCCCTGTATAATCCCAGCAGAATATGTTCTGTTGTTCCCTACAACACTAGATGAAAAAAGTCCTGTGATATCAAATGCACGAACATGTCATCATTGCAGCACAAGTGATGAAAATTCAATATGGTGTCCTTCCAAAAGGACAATACTGCCGTTGAAAACAGAGACTTTCCTGACGGCGATTTCAGCAACGGAAAACTTACTGGTTCACTGGAGGCAATAAGGGTAATAAGGGAATATAACCCTTACGTATTATTTTCCCTTTATTCCTTTCTTAAAAAACTGTAAGAAAAGCATAGTGCCTCCGCAAAGATCGTCATCCCGAGAACTGCAAGGCAGGAAGCTGCAAGCATAAACCTCATCAGGGCAAAAAGCAATGGAAGCAAGGCTTTAGGGTTTAGTAGGGGTTTAGGGTTTTGGGTTTTGGGGTACAGGAAGAGTCGGAGTCGGATCTCAGACACCATCAGGCAGCAACATTTCCGAATTGTGATCTATCCAATGGGTTTTGGGTGCCCTCTCGTGCTGGCGCTGCTTCTTGGCCTCCTTTCTTTGGCGATCCTTCTTTTTCACCGGCCCGCCTGGAAGCAGCAACCGACTGCTGCTGCGACTGCGGGCATCTCCACATGCCTCCAAGCTGCGCTCTGGGATGCACTCATCTTTCAAGGCGGCGTCGCCCGAGTTGAACTACTAATTACAGGGCCTTTCACCCTCCCGACAACAACCCCTCCCCAGGTTCTTGTTGAGGGCTTAGCCTGCAATAAGAACAGTACGCATCATCGCTGGCTCAATTTGAAAGGTCTTGCAGGCTACTTCTGCTTGACTGAGGTTCTGTGTTGGCTGCACGTACACATACACAGATATTAGAGCATGTTAGGGCTCGTGTATCAGCTCTTGGTCTGGGGTTCTTTTTATGGAACTTGTTGAAAATTGCTGCGCTGCTTTCAGGCGAAGGACCAAAAAAACATATAAGGATCCAACAAATTTGGGGTCTTTTATAGGACCCTTTCTCCAAAAAAACAAAACTCCCAAAGACGCCACTTAGGCGCGGTCCTTCCTTAGCCACTGCACTGAAGCAGTCTGCCGCCCCTCAGTCGAGCTCTTAGTCGTTGCAACCTCATTCTTGTTCGCTGCTTCTGACCCTCATCCATGATGCTGCGATGCCATTCCGTCACTGACAGGGCTGCCCTCCACTTCGTCACCAGCGCCCATTGCCATGCTTGACCCTTCAACTCCATGTCCAACAGTGACCCTGCCATCACGTGCTGCAACAATTTCACTACAAGTCTCAGGCCCGTCTCCCCATCACTTAAAACAACACCTTCAGCCGTGCTAAAGTCTTCACGTAAGGCCGGCCTAGTGCCTCCCCGCAGCATCCCGCCAGGGTCTGCGCGCATTACCTCGTCTTTGCCCCCTTACTTTGTTCTTCTGTTTCGCTTCCTCCCCCTGGGCCGCATCCATATCTCGGCAACTCCCATCTCTGGCGGTTTGGCCTTCTCGCATCTTCACGTGGCACAAGTCTCTCTGACATGGTGGTGACGTCTTCTCGGTGACTCCGACGTTCTGCATTTGCATTCCATCAAATGGACCTCATCCATATCTTCCCCCTGCATAACGTCCCTCGCCCTTGTCGACTTGGTTGATCCATTCCCTCTGCGGACTCCATCACCACAGCACAGTCCTGACCAGTCTCCACTGCCATTGCCATGGTGGCGTGCTCGTACACATGTAAGACATCCCCTCCGGCGACTCCTTGAAAGACACCCATGGAGGTCAAAATCACAGAGATCCACATTTAGGTCATGAACACACAGTGCATTGCTGCGCTTGAAAAGAGGGTGGCTACAATGAGCTGTCCCGGCTGAAAACCATCATGAACCCTCATGCTGTCAACACTGCTTGCCTGCCTGACGACGACGGTACACGTATACGCCTCATCCATGACTGCAAGAACTGTCTCCACTGCTGTTTGTCAGCCGCTACCTCTCTCCACTCTTCCGACCCCACCGTCCTCGCAATCTCCCGCTCGCAATTCATCAGGCGGGGGCAGTGGCTGGGGTGGTGGGTACCACCTCAGAATGCTTTCTGGGATGACTGAGTCTCCCGGATTCGGACACATCACGCCGAAATCCTTCCTTCACCCTATGACCTGTAAAGGTCCAAAATGCCTCCGCATGCCCACCCAGTTCTCCCCCACAACCCTCCAAAGTCCCATGAGTCTTCTCACACAATTGTAGTGGAAGTAGTTCCGGAGTTGCTGCTTGGCGGCGGCTGGGTAAAGGGCCCCCCACCACATCCTGATCGATCCAAATACTACCGTGTCCAGCACAGCCATCATTCAGGTTGAGCGGGATGGCGCGGGGTCCCTGCAAACAAAGTAGCACACATTTTGCCGACTGGATGTGCAACAGATTTGGGGCTTAGGGCTTAAGCTTTATTGAGGACCGTGCGAGTGTGAATAAAGGACCTATCACAGGGGGATCCTAAGCCTCAGTGGGATGAGGGCGTTTCCCTTCTCCTAACATTAAACATCCCGCCAACCCTCATAATCATTGGTTTCATCTCCTAGAAACCCTACTTTTTACTTCGTGATAAGTCTTCAATATTATTGGGGGAAGGTGATTAGGCACACTTACTCCTTCTGCGTTTGCGAGCGCGTTTGAGCTTCTTCTTCTCCTTCTGGCACCGCTTCTTGGCCTCCTTTCCTTGGCGATCCTTCTTTTTCACCTCCCCGGGTGCTCTGGAAGCAGCAACCGACTGCTGCTGCGATTGCAGGCCAGAAATACCGAGGTTTTCTAGAAAATCCAGGACTTTGTTGTTTGCTATCCTTATTTGTTGTTGTTTTGATCCTCATTGGTTTTTGTTTAAACCGCCTCCCTGGTGCTTCGGCGTGGGATCAGTTTAAAGGATTGTCTTAGCGTGCTGATTGAGAATTTGTGTGGAATTTGTAAGCGTTGGGGGTATAGGATGAGATGGAAGGGAAGGGCATAGGCAGAAAGTAACTTCTCACTCAACCGGCATTTGGTCTCTGAAAGCGGTCTCAGTTCAGGGCCAGTGGCCCTGCGTCATCTGCACCTGTTCGCAAGGATCCGCCCGGCAGCCAAGTTGCGATGACGCGCACGGGCCTCAGACGCATGGCTCATGCTCACCTGCCGGGAGAGCGCCGGCTCAGGGCTCTCCTCACAAAGAGAAAAAACAACCACCGCGCGGCAATCGCATGCCACCCCATAGATCTCTTCAGAATCTGCACCGTGGCTACAACGCAATCGCGTCCTCCAAGCCCTCCTCAACCGTCTTCATGACAGCTTCTTCCCCATCATGCTCTGCGGGATAGAGGTAACACAGCACCCACCAGGACCTACAGGCTGGGTTTAGGGTTAGAGTCTGTTGTTTTCTGGCTGACAATTAAGGGAATGACAGGTCTTAAGGTCTAGGAGTTGGGGCTTGGGCTCCAGAAGTCGTCCATTTTTGAGAGGCCCGAGAGCTGTTCCCCTCGGCCCTACCCTTTCAGTTCAACAAACAAAACACGTCGTAAAACTCTCCCACCCCGACTTTGGAGCACTTCTATGGGCCATTGCGCGTATCAGATTTGTAGCGCTTCCTTGTGTAAGCCTCAGGTTGATGAGTTTTGTTGAGACAACTTGCCCTCTTTCTGCCCAAACCCTCAGCGTCTGCTTTGCAACTCAGGGCTGCGCGCAACAGTCACCGGAACGGCCTGCCGCAGCATGGCATTGAGACTCCCACGGTAACCATCTTTCATCCGAGGCACAATCGGGGCCGCCATGAAGAACCAAGTCCTGGCTCCGGAGCGCGGCAAGCGTTACGCACTCTTGGCGTAAACTGTGAGGCGGCGACCACAGTGAGAGTTTGTGGTCCTCAGGAGAGCAAACCCTCAGAGAATTGTTTAAAGCGTTTCCACATAGAATCCATGCTTCTGGATCTTGACAAAAAATTACCAGGTGGTGGACGAAGTCCCGCAACAGACTCACCTGAGACTGGAAGACTGAGACTGCAAGCCACACACGGAGAAGGTGAGGCTGATGAGCTGAGCCACCGTGATGAGCGAGACGGGACTGGAGATGGGAAGGAGGATGGAGCCTGCAAACTCATCCTAGCTATCTGGTTGGGCAGCAAACACGTTGCTGACCTGTGTTTGCGGAGAAGGCCACGCCCAGCAACAGCCGCTTGATGACAGGCACCTCCCTGGAACACGGCCACTCGCACAGACACAAAAACATGAGATGGGCAGCCAAGTGCCTAGCAACTGCCCTAAGCCTCTCTTCATTAGAAGTGGCTTCAGAGCAGCCATCACGACCTCGCGGTATGGCATCAGAGTGGCATGGCGCCATGTTCACCCAGGTCTTTGCGTCTGCCCAGGCCCAGGCAATGGAGCCCGAAACTAGGACGGAGCAGGCAGCCATGGTGGAGAGCATGATGACCTCACAACAACTCAAAGCAAGAATCAAATGCAAAGCCGAGGCAAAGACACGGGTTCCGCACTAACAGGAAGCTTTTGCTATCCAGCCGCCATCGCCTCGGGTAGCTCGAGAGCAACTCGCTTCGCCCACAGCTAGCTAGGCTGGAGTCAAGAGCCTCTGTACAGCTACCTCCCCATACCACAAAATATACCCCAATATACACCCTATAATCCCTAATATATAGCCCATTGTTGTAGTCTCCATTGTCTTTTCCATTCTCCCAATATAGTCCCAATACTCTAAACCCTAGACCATATATAACCCTGTTAGAGTAGTTTCCGTTTTCTTTTCCATTATCCCAATATATCCCCAACAGACTATAATCAGCCCTATACATCGCCTATATATTCCTATTGTTTCCATTTTCTTTTCCATTATAATAAGATCCCCATATCACCAGAACTTCTGAGCCCGTCTCCGAAGGAGTGATGAGGTCAAGTAATCGAGAATTCCACACTTCTCAAACCTTGGCATGACCACCACGTTATCTTGGGGTTATATTGCGGCAAAATTGGGTTATATTGGGGTAATATTGGGGTTATATTGGGGCGGTTGTATTGGGGTAATATTGGGATTGTATTGGAGTTAAATATGAGGATAATGAAAAGTAAAATGGAGACTACTATATTTATGCTCTCTCAAAAGAGGGAATACGCGAACACTGAGGGCACCAAGTTGTTAAGCGGGGCCTGTTGCCAGCAAGTACCGTGAAAGCTTATTCATGACTGTTTCTTTCTAGATGTACGGATACATCTGAGGTCCTGGTATGCCAACTGCTCATATCTAGCAATCTTGGCCCCTGGCACAGCATTGATGACAAGGCTCCCCAGCACCAGGAAGGATGTCTGGTTGAAAAATGAAGCTAGCCTGAATCTCCCAGCTTCAGGCAGAGCTAGCAGCTATTGGCTTTTGAGACTTCTACATCATTCACCCCATTCAGCTTCTGTAGAGTGCTGCCAGGCCACAGCAGCGTCGAGGTCGTAAGCATCGTGCGTGCCTGGCATCCCAGGCCACTCCGACCTCTTCCCAGAATCTCAAGACCCTACCTCGCCAAAGACTGCGCAAATGCTCCCTGACCAGTGCGGAACAGAAAGCGGAAGCTTCTTCCTGCTGGCTCTTCCTGACATCTGGGTGGCCCACCGAGGACTGGAATAAAGAGTGCCACGCAGAACAGTGGCATGAGCTCGAACAGGCTGAGTGTCAAGACCTAAGGACACTTGAGAATATAGGTCAACAGCTTAAACCGGCAACAAACTGAGAGGCGACGCCCCAAGCATGATCAGAGCACAGCGAGCTTGGGGCTCTAGGTCGAAGGTCCTTTGGGCGGTGCATCGGCCCAGTTTCTGTCACAATGCGCTGAAAATCCCTCTCTACGGGGATGGGGCCTCATGAAGGCTGGCAGCATCACGGCCCTGGCAAGCTCCACTGAAGAACAATGCATGGCTGCAAGTGCCGCAGTGTTCTTGCTGTCTGCATGGCTTGGGTGCCGGCACTATGAAGATGGGAGGTCCTGATGCGCTTAGGGGCTTTGGCAAAAGGCGGCCGCAATGCAGGTGCTGGCAGGTCCTTTCACCGTCAGGAACTGTCGAAAGCGTAGGCCTTCGTCTTCCTCTGGGAAAGCCTCTCAGAGCAGCCGTGGAACAAAATGGCAAATTGCAGGAAGAAGGGGCCTCAGATTGCTCCGTGAGCCTGCAGCACAGTCTAGAAGCAACCCTGAAATGCTGCGCCCACTTTTTGCGCCAAGCCTGCGAATGTCGAAGCGCATTGGAGCAGGGAGGCCTCTCGTGCATCAGCATTCAAGCCAGCCCAAACCCTCTAAATGTCTCTGGGCCGTCGGCCCGAGCGAGGCGAGAAGACTCGAGCATCTGTAGGGACTCCTGCTTTGGGGCAAAAAAAATAGCATCCAGGTGCACTTGAGCCAAGCCACGCGCCTTCTGGCTCCTCCAAATGGTCTTCGCTACCTTCAGCCAAGGTGCAAGTCCCTTGCACAATACCGTGGGAAGTAAACAACGGATCCCGTCCCGCCTACTTTCTCGGGTGCGTCATCCGGATCAGAGACGAAGGCCGGCCTGTCAGCACCGGATGCCCAGGTTTAGCTGAAGCTTGCACATGCTTGCATGGCCTGCTTCACCAAGAGTGTTTTGCAAAAGAAGCAAATTCTAGAATATGACTTCACAGCTACCTCCACAAATGAACGGCAGAGCAGCCCAATTTCACAACCGAATTCGTTCGTGCAGGTGTGACAAGGAAGTCTCCAACAATGCCTCCGCTTCGGAGGGGAGTTGGAGGACGTGCTTTGTGCCATCGCCCTGGCATGAAGAAGCTGAAGCTGAGAAGCCGAACAGAAAAGGAGCTTTCAGCCTTCCAAGACAAGGCGGGCGGCTTTGGAGGATTTCGAAGTCCGCGCGCTGCGGAAGGGCTCAGTGGGCAGCACCTTCGACCAGAGAGTTCACAACCCGAAGGATCCGAAAGAAATCCGAGAGCACCCTGAGAGCGCTGTAATTAGGCTGGGGCCCCAGCTGAGAACTACATTCATGAGCTGCTGGGCTGCTGTCCGCAATCTGACCACCCCAGCGTTAACTCCCTTAACTCCCGGCTTCTCCTGCACCTTCATCCCTCGTGAGATTAGACGGATGTAACTGCGCCGCTAAGATCAAGTGAAGGTATGTACGCGCGACCTGAGTTCTTGTGGATGCGGATTGTCTTGGTTTGGGCACTTGCCAGCACTGGAGTTTCTTTGCAGCAACTCATGTACGGGGTCCTTGAACCACAGGGAAGAGCGTAATCAGTGCCTACCAGCTCATCAACGCCCCTTGTAACATGAAGTATTTTTTCACGGTAGCCTCGTGATCAGCATCCTGTGAAAGCCACACGTTGAGAAGTAGTGACAGCAGAGAGTTGGGGCTCACTCGCTCTGCTGGCATTTTCAGATTGCATTCGCTTGAGTGAGTGTCACCCGTGTCTACTGCTATCCCCTTGTACAACTAGCGCTATAGTGCCAGCACTGGTACTACTAGGAGCCCTCGCCGCAATCTTACGAGTAGCGGTGGTACTCGAAGTAAAAATCATCGTAGCAGCAGCAGCCGGAGAAGTAGCAGTAGTAGTAGAAGGTAGCAGGTAATAGAATAGGTAGTTTAGGTGGTAGTAGCGGTAGTAGTATGTAGTAAGACTAGTAGCAATCATAGTAGTAGTAGTAGTAGTAGCAGTAGTAGTAGTAGTAGTAGGAGGCGCCGCTGACCCCTACCAACCACCATTTTGGCACAGCTCCCACACGCGCTGTCGGAACTCGAACCACCCGAAGCGCTGGCATAGCACGCACACGGCGCTGCGGCCGCATTTATGCTCGCAACTGCGACGGCTGGAAATGCTGGCATAGCACGCACACGGTGTTGCACGCACATGCTCGCTCTCTCGCTCGTTTAACACCCACATTGGCCTGCACATACGCTCGCTCTCAACTCCGTCGTTGGCTTGCTCGTTTAATACCCACGGTGGCCTGCACCCACACGCTCGCTCCTAACTCCGGCGTTCGCTCGCTCGTCTACTATTACTACAATTTATTGTTACTGCTGACACACTGGGGTCTAGCCACAAGTTGGGCACTTAATCGGCAGGAAGGTACAACGGCAACACGCCTTTTTTCTCACTATGGCACGGGAGGCTCCTATCTGATGTCACCCCTACGAAGAGGAAGACAAACAAACCAGGGTAAAATCAAAAATGCATATTACCTTTGTACAACAAGTTGGAGCACGTTGTTTCACTGTGATCCTAAAAGGCTTGAGCCACATATACAATACATGTAACACATGCATACCTGTTCCAGTACATGCACTCCTGCATGTTCTCGTACATGCACTCCCCCGGTTCTGCTTTACAGAACGCTTCTATACATTATGTACGTTTTAGCCCCATGCGAGGTTGCGCGAGCCAAAGCTCAGAACCCTTGACCTCCAATTTTCGCGCTGTGGGATTTTGGACCTCGGTCTCCGGAGGCTTGGGCAATGCTGGGCGCTTCGTGCCATTGCTCTCTGGTCCAGGCACTAGAGGTTGTGCTTGAACCGCGACAGTCAAGCAAGTCCAAGAGAGCAACTTTGAGTGCCAACGCTGAACCACAGGTGCAGCCTGACCCTGGAATAGTAAAGCCAGTGATGCCATCTAAATCTGTTGCGGAAATTGCAGGAGTTCCTCGCCCCGCTACAGAAAACACAGCTTCTTGCCCTGGACCCCCAGTCGTTCCCAGAACAGGCCCCAAAGACAGAGCTTGCCTTGGTAATGTTACTGCAAGCAATGCCCGAGCTGGATTGGAAACTTGTGTTTCATGCCCGAGCAGTGTCATGCGCCACTTTGCCCAAAGTTCAACTTGGAAGTGAATGTTGGCATTGTTGCCTCAAGGGTCTCCAAGAAAGTGGCTAAGGATCTCTCGCCGCACGTTTTGTGAAGACAACGTTGCCCGTAGCAGGAGGATCCGTGTGTAGTTGCCGAAGGTTGAGTTCAGGCCAAACTCTGATACGCAGCATGCGGATTTCTGGTGCCAAGTGCGGGATCAAAGAATGTGCAAACGAATGGCAAACTAATTATCCTTCTGAATTAAGATCAGGTCGCCGAGCAGACTGTAGGAGAACATTCAGATCTGCTCATATCCATAGCCGTGCATCTGCAAGAAGCACGACGACTCGACGACCCATGCAAGAAAAAAACTTGGTGAGACTGGCCAGGCAATTCCCTTTTGCGGGCTGCTTCCTATTGGGCGGTTACACTGCGTGCCCCAGTCCAGGAATCTAACTTTCGGAGAGATTTCCTCCCTGATGCATCAGAATTGTCGAAAACTCCTGGAGACCCAGGCAAAACAGTGCTGTTCTCAACTTGCATAACAGAAGTGGCTGACCCTCGAAGATACAGTGCAAAACAAAATGAGGGCCAGAAGAAGAACCCTGTAAGACGTCCAGTCCCAAAGCCCCACAAAAGCTAGCATGGACTCAAATCTAAGCTCCGAGCCCTCCTTGCTGGACCTAAGTCCCGGGATACAGTCAGCAAGTTGTTGAAGAGACAGAGCCCCGGCAGGCCACCAAATCATGATGTACGGCTTCGCTTTGTTGTCTAAGCTCTCACAATACAGCACAGTGAGTCCCGTGCAGCTGCGGCTGCGGCCATGGCCAGCGAACTGCTGGGCGCGAGCCTTTCTGGAGCCTGGCGTGTCAGCAAGAAAGTTCGCTCAGAAACTCTCCCAGGCTTTCAGGCTTTCATCTCTGGCCTTGGTCTCAGAAGCTGTCGTTGGGGGCCTTGGGCCATGAATAATGAACATGAAGGCAGTGTCTGACCTCACATTCCATGCCAGGCTGCGGTATCAGATGCCCGGATGAGAGCTGCCGGAAGGCCACAGCTACGGATGGTGCTGCCGTAACCACCTGCAAAGCTCTCACTGAAGGCAATCGTCTCAGAACCCACTTCAGTCGAGGCGGTTTTCAGAGGGCCGAGCCTGAGCCGTTGGCCGCAGCGAGACGGAGCCGCCCGCGCCAGAGCGAGTGCTTGACGTGCTGGGCTCTCTGGGCACACAGGAGCCTTTGCTTCAACAGGCTTTCGTTGCCTTTCCCGTTGTTCCCCAATCTGGGCCCCCACCGCTCCAGCTGCGCGCCACACGCGCCACTCGCGCTGCGGGCGGATTGGTAAGTACTGCAGACGTTGCGGTCGCAACTGCAGGGGCGAAGGCTGGCAGGCCTCGGAGAGGCTCTCAGAAGAACAGAAAACCTTGCACCCAAATGTGCGCTATTCAATTGAGGTGGGAGCCATTCAAGGAAATCCCGCGCTGGGACATAGTCACTGCCGGGAATGGCCTGAACTTAGTTTCTGAAATTCTGATACGAGAGAAGCTTTGAATACTTGGATACCGACGCCAAAACCTCTGACGACGCGGGCCTCTGTGTTATCCCTATATAACCCCAATATACTATATAGTAGTTCCCTATATTATCCCATATTATAGGATCTGTGTGTAAATGCCCAGTACTCACGGACCTCGGGCCATCCTTCCCCAAGCTCCCAGCGACCGCGGCGTTCCGGTGCCACGTGGTGCTGGGGCCTCGTGTTCCGGTGCAGAAGTCTGAGATGGTTTGTTGTTAAGGAGCTATATGGGGGGGAAACCGTGTCAATTACTAGATATATATATATATACCCATTATGAAATCTCTCTCTGGCGTGCAGGACGCGGATGGCCTGCAGGCTTCCCGCCATTGCCTGTGCAGCCATGCGCATGGCAGCTGGGGATGGCCTGAGAATGTGAGAAGAGCCAATGTGCCGTGCTCTCATTTAAATGCTACGGCTTGCAGCAGGGGCTCCGGCTGACGGGCCTGGGGGCAAGGCAACGCCTCATCAGGACAACAGGCATCACATGTGCATCAGATGCTTTTCGGCTCGGGATGCGAGGCTCGAGCGGGAGCAGGGCTGTGAAGCTTCAGCTCAGGCCGGGCCTGAGTCTTAGTCGGTCAAGGCCTCCTAAAGCAGCGGAGACCCACCGATGTAAAGACGCGCAGAATTCCCTTTTTTGTTTTTTTGAAGCTGCAAACGCAAGCTGCACCATCAGGGAAAAGCGGGCAGCAACTGGCCATCTTTGTCAGGCTGCACCGGCCTGCCACGACCACGGTGAAATCCAGGCAACTGGACTCGCGGAAGGGGAAACAATCATTTGTAAAAACCTTGAAACTTCAGAGGCTTCACGCCTGTGCCTGGGTTGCCTCTTTGGCATCAGAAACAAGGCTCCCGCCAAAAGCCGGTCCATGTTTGGACAGGCCAAATCTTGAAGCACGCAACGAAGAGCCTTCTCCGCAACTGCAGCTGAGCTCCCAGTTGCGCCCAAGCTTTTGAATAGGGACGTTGCATGACAATCCTGCCTTTACGCTTTTCCAGTCTGGATTAAGTTGCAGTGTCATCAGACTCCCCATTCAGGTGGACAGAAAGCTCTTTCGAGCTTCCCTCTCTTCACGCGCAGATCGCGATGCCGTCATGAGCGAGGAAAAATCACATGTCTCACCTGAGCACGGCTGGCGATTGCTCTAAAGTTTGGTCGTCATGTTTGGCATGTTTCAAGTCGAGCCAGGCTGCGCAGGAAGCACTGCACCCCCACATGCGCCACAGCTGCGTCCTGTAGCAGCATTTGGGAAGCATGCGTAGGCTGCTGAATATCTCTGCCCACTAAACCTGTTTGGGATAGGTACATGGCTTTGGCACGTCTCTGCGCCTTGGCACAAGCCTGCGCCGACGCATCCCGGAGCTCTTTCGCTGGAGGCTTGGCTTCAAGAATCTCCTCCTCGTCCAAGTCCTGCAAGATTCCATGGGAATCCAACCCTCTCTGTGCCTCTTTACTTCAAGAACACGCAACAGCACACGAGCTAATGTGGTCCTCTTCCTCCTCCTCGCTGGGCGCTGTGGCAGTGGCCTGGCCGGGGAGTAGTCCCTGCCTCAGATTCAACATATTCAACATCTCCTGACATCACAAGCCATGGACTTCACTTGCTTGCGCTTGCAAGTGTAGTTTGGAGCAACGGGCCATTGTAGCACGCCGGTTTATGCAATGCTGGCATCAGCATAGGCTCGCATGCAAAGAATCCAAACAACAGCTGAGCTACACTTCCAAGGTGTTGGATTTCGTGAGCATGGCAATGGAACTGATCCCTGCCTTCACCTCAGCAGAGACAGCAAAGCAGTACAAGCAATACCTACAGCCTCGCACGCCGTCAGACAAGGAGCTGTGTCAGACAGCGAAAACCTCTTGACGCTGGTGCTTGATTTGGGGCCGTCCTGCTGCATCCAAAGCTTCCAGAAGCTGAAAAGCCACGTCGCTTCCGTGGCGCAAACCCCGCAGGCGCTTGACAGTATTCCGAGGTTGCTGGGATCTGCAGTTTCAATGCGTGCATGTTGAGGCTCCTCATCGGCCTCATCTGACTGCACCGACTGGAGCTCCTGGAGGAGAGCGCTTCAGGAAAAGAACTTCCAAAGAGCTACCGAAGTCCTTGGAGTCCCTCCTGCCGAGCTTGGAGAAGAAACCTGCAACGCCTGACTGTTGGCCTGGCAATTTTTACACCTCTGAGACACTGAGTGACCTTGTTTTCTGACGATTGCTGCGGTGCCTGGCGCGACTTGCTCACACGAGATTTTTCTCCTTCAGGCGCTATGGGCTACTCAAGGGGGCTTGGGACTTAGTTCTTCATGCCAAATCCTGGCGATCTCCCTCTTCACCTGGCGCTTCAGCGTCCGCTTCTCTTTGAGAAGACCAGCTAGCTGCCCATCCTGCTCAACATGCAAATGCACTTGCCCCTGCAGGCTGTGATGTTATTTGGGATTGCAGTCCTTTACGTCGAGCTGATGCAGCAGAGCGGTCTCGTGCGCCCTCGCTGCTTCCAACTCGTTTCCAACATCTTGGAGCCTGTCTGGCGATGCAGGTAAATCCCAAAAAGTCTATGTAAGGGACCTTTCAGAGGCGCCTGGTGACCAGGCTACCCTTCCAGTCGTCCACAAAGCTTTGCCACTCGTTGAAGCTTGCTACAGCTCTGTCCCGCATTGAGTAGAACTCCCTCATGTAGTCGGCACCTGGTCTACTCGCTGTGGCACAGGCACGTCTAAGGCTCCAACTCGCCCGAGTCCGGGGCTTGCCACCGACGCCACGTCGGAACCCAGCTCTTCTAACAAGGTCTCTTCCATTTTGGCCAAAGCGTTGAAGATCTGCGGCGCTGTTGATGGCCGCATCTTGACGCCAATCCTCTGGTTCAGGTCTAGTGCATGCTGGAAGGCAATTGCTAATGCCCACGTCCTTGATCGCTCGTGCAGTGCCGGGATGGAAACATCCTGAGGAAGCTCAACTTGAAGTTGAGAAGATGCCCTCGCAGCAGCTCAGGAACAAGCCACATAGATGACGGTGAAGGCATCCCTGCCGGCATGTCAAAGATTTTGTTTGTAGAGGACACCAACCCTCAGACCCCTGTCATTACTTCTGCCACGGGTGACACTACCCCTACTTTGACCGAGTCTCAGACAAGACTGGGCTGTGCTCAATGGCTTGGGGTGTCAATCAGGATTGCAAAGATTTCAGAAGCAGGCCAAAGGTGCTGACGCAAAGAATTCAAAATGCAACACATCTCCACATAGTGAAGCATCCAAAATTGCACCAGAGAAGCAAAGAGCACATACAAGCACCAAAGAAACACAACTAGCGTCCCTTGGCAAGCGCTGTCCAATGCGACCACATCACACAGAAGCACGCATGGGAAGTACAACAGATCCTGTGCAGTGGAATCGCTGAGACTGTCAGGATTGGGCTCGCACGAAACACCACCGCTGATGCGACTCATGACATAGCACGTTCAAAGCGCGTCATCTGCAACCAGTGAGCCTGTGGAACACAATGAGTATCAGACGTCAGCTTAAAGACGGAATGTGCAACAACCTGCAAGGCATGCAACAAGTCTATGAAGTCGGGGCGCACCGAGATGCTGAAGAGCGGAAGGAACAAAACATGAGTTTTCAGCTTGGCCAAACCCCGAGGCTGACAAAGGTTTTTGGCACGACAAAAAAAAACCAAACAAAAACGTAGTGTCTGCATGGTGCTCAACCAGGGGGTTATGGAAAAGAAGCCAGAGCACCACAACCACATAGAACCACTCAGCTTGCGAAGAGCAGCCTGAACTTGCTAAATAACTGCTTCGGCTCGGAAAGGCCTGGCCTCTCCCGCGCCGGGAGATCGTCGTCTTCAAAGGCCGGATGCATTGAAACCAGACGTGGTCTTTGACGATCCCAAGTCGTTCAGAGACTTTGGACTTGTGCAGCTTGCCTGTTACTCCTGCTTATCCTTATCACCGATCACTGTTTGCGCTTGCGTTGACTGGACATGCTCAGTTGTTCGAGCCAGCTTTTTGTTGCAGATCTGCCCAGGGCATGCATGCCATCAACAACAAAGGCATGTAAAACAAGACCGCCCAAGCTCCTGCAAGTGTGTATATCACCCACATAGATCACTGCTTGTTGAACTTCTAGGTGTTTGCTGGCCTTGTAACAGAAGCGCCCCATCCCGGATGTTGACACCAATCCAAACCCTGACACGTTCAACGCCAGTACTGGGGAGCCACACCACAGGTGGGACAGGCATTGGTGTTGACGGCGTCGCCACCGGCTGCGCCACAGCCGGCACAGGCGGCACAGGCGGCACAGGCGGAACAGGGGGCACAGGCGTAGAAGTGTCCCGTTTCCTGGGCTCAGGGAGTTTCTTGATGCAGAATCTTGAGAAAGTGGTCCAGAGTCTTGAAGCCGTCCTACCTACTCCCTGCTACGAGCAGCAGCAGCAGCAGAAGGCTTCACTCTTTGCTGCATCTCGCTGGATTGTCCAACATACCAAGGAATCGGTGTCAGCCAAGCGTCTCGGGCAGTGGCTTATCCTTCTCTCGAGAACCTGTGCCAGGGCTGAAGCAAATGCAACCCAGCCATAGCCATATCCTCTAGGCCCCCAGCGGATCTTGGATCGCAATGCCTGGCTTGGCAATCCAACCAAAGTGTTGGGCCAGCGTACACTTCTGCACGTAAGCTTCTACGCTTCTAAGCTTCTGACTTTGTTGTATCGCCTCACCAGGTCGTCTGGCACCTTTTGGCAGAGTTTGGCCCTCTGGCACGAACTCTGATCACAATCTGCTTCTGCCTGCTTGCCATCCAAGAGGTAGTCTGCAGCTTGCTCGCGGATGCAGGCCTGCTCCTCGCAAGGTCAGTAGCGGCCGGTGTCTAAGCACGAGCTCCTCCTTTTCACAGTCCGTGCCTTAGCCACCTTCATGGCCTCCAAACGGCTGTACCTCCGAAAAAACATCACCTGCTTCCAAGCAGTACATTTTCCTTGCATCTTGCATGCCCATCGCACTGCTTGTGCTTGTCATCGAATGTCATGCGCTGGTCTTTTGGAACCTTCGTGCGCACACAAGCACGCTGCAAACTAGACTTGGCCAGGTATGTTCGCACCTGATGCAATGACGTAGTGCAAGCCACCGTCTCTGTATCGTACTCCTTGTTCTCCTTTGCAACAGCTGACGGTGCCTGAAGCCCAGCAGCGACTCCCAGAAGCCTCGCTGAATCTCAAGTAGTCGATGAGCGGCTGGCGCCTGTCCGCGAAGGCAGCTTGAAATACAAACAAGCCTGAGACAGCTGCTTCACACCAACTCATAAGCAGCAGGCATTGGGCCGTCCACGACAACAGGGCAACCACGCCTCAATGAAATCCACACAAACAAGGATCCCGCAGCTGGGTGGCTTCTAATTATCACAGCCCCAGGCTTCCCCGGTTCGCGCGAGTGCCTCCACTCGATGTTCACCTTTCCCGTGCGTGGGGAAATACATCGAAACAAAGCACTCGCACATGTCTTCATTTCCCGCTCAAAGACCAGCTAATTATCACAGTCTGCGCCAAAAGCTTCCGTCAAATCGCCCCAGGCCGGCCTCATGTCCATCCACCAGGTAGACTCCTTGTGTGACCTGCTGCACCTTTCGTGACCTTCAAAGGCTTCATCTACCCTTGACGTGCTTTTGTGTTGGCTCAGTTCAAATGACAAACAAAAGCTGGGGAAAAGGCTTGGACACATCCGGATTCTTGCGAAGAATGTACAGGACATGCTGATGGATGAGGTCCTGCACTGGCCCAACTATCGTGGCATTCCTCCCGGCCACTCATCGCCTGCCTCCTCTTCCTTTGGAGCCTCTTTCGAGACCTCCTTCGAAGGCGGCACGATGGTCTGCCGGGCGGCCCGGGCTGGGGACATGGAGCCCTGCCGGACCTTTGATCCCAGGAAGGCGAGCTCTAGGCTCTTTTGCTCTTGCTCTCCGCGCATTTTTGGCTTCCCACCGGGCGATAGTCGGCCGGAGGACCTGTGCTGGAGGGCCGCTTCCCGGGTCTTTGCACACAAAACATGTACTGAGGCCACAGGCTTTTCGGATCAGGAAAGCCCATCCGTGAAGGAGTCGCGGACGGCCTCTCACTGCAAGGGGTTAAACCACCACAACACAGCCTGCAGCAAGAGTGGGCCTAATGCACCGAGAAGACTGCTGACGGCTTTGCGCACGAGAGGGTGATGGTGAGTCCTGGGAAGAAGGTATGCATAAACATTAATCAGTGTTGCATGGACAATTGTGTAAGTTGTGGGTGCTTTTGTAATGCCGCTCGCTATGTAATTTGCCTCGAAACTGCCAAAAGGCGATCAGACCGTTTGCTTCCTTTCAGGCCGTGGTCCCAGTTCCCTTGGGAAATGGGCTTGGGGATACCAGGTTTCGGACTTCCATCATGTCAAAGTCCAAAATCCCAAAGCCCTTCCTCTCCACCGCCCCATCGCCCTCCNNCCCCCCCCCCCCCCCGCCCCCCGACTCTCTTCTTGACATCCCAAAAAACGCGGGACAAGGAACATACTGTGGGGATGAGGGGGCCTTGGCGACGCTGCATAACATCCGGAAACATGCCCAGCTCAGGCTCTGATTGCATGTGGTTGCGCCTGGAAGTGTGTTCGTGGAGTCTCGGAGCCTTGTGCAGCATCCTGAGCCCTGGCGCAATTCGTTCGACAGGTCCAGATGCAGACCGAAGCTGGGCCCTGCCTGATGAAAAGTGGTGGAGGGGCTGCTGGGGACCTGCATCCATTCTGAAACCGGCGATTCGGCAAGCAAAAGACAGCATGCCTCTGCGGAGAAAGCGAACGCCGATTCCATGATGCCTGACACAATCAGAACGCAGCGAAGCTCACAGGATCAGAGTCGAACAGTCAAGGCCTGCGCAGCCCCAGAGGCAGCACTGTGACCATGAGCTCTGGGCGGGCCACCAGGCGCGAGGGCTGAGCTGATCACAAGCTCCTACCAAAAGAACGTGAAACGCAAGAAAAGCGTGACAAAGGCATGGCAAAAGCATGGCGAGGCGCAGTGAACCCGAAATCGTCGCACCTCCCTGCGCGGCTCATCACCCCAAAGCCGTGCCAGGGCACCGACCGGAGTGGCCTTGGGTTCAGCAAAGTATCTTCCCTTCACGACCCGCTCCGCAAAGAGGTTTGGACCACGCGCCGGCCCCTTTGGAAGAGAGGATGTCCTGCTCTGAGACCAAAAATCAACCAAGCATCAAAGACGAGATTTGCACTCACAGCACCTGGACTGTCTGCAAAGCCAAAGCCAGCGCCTAGGCCAGGGTCCAACTCATGAACACTAACAACGGCAGTTAAAGTAGAGAGAGGCTTATAACAATCAGCTGAAACCGAAGGCCTGGGACGTTTAGATCTAAGATTCTAAGATTCTCCACAAGTGAGTATTTCCCACCCACCCCTCCCCTCCTCGCTCCAGATGCAAGCTAAGATTGTGCCTACAAACAGAAAACGCTGCTCCTAGAGCGCACGAAACTCATCAAAGCCATGTCGAGGCGGTACTTGCGGCAGCGATTAAACTGTATCGGTATGCTAACAGTAAAGGAATTACTAAAAACCTCTCAGTTCATCTCCGAGATCCGGACCAGGGATCGGCTGCGATTGCCTCACAAAGATGTGGCGATCTCCGGCCCTAGGAGGGCAGCCGCTTGTGATTCCGGCCTGTGTGAGGGAGGCGTTCCCAGCAGAGCTTCCTCACACCACACAGCATCGCCAAAATCAACTTCACAACTCCGAACCGGTCCTGGCGGGGTGGCCCAGGGTAGCTAGCAACAGCCTGAATGACAACACCAACAACAAAAATGCAGGTTTTATACAAACTCCCAAGTTTCGGGCGGCAGTCATCGGGCCTGGCTGCATCTCACACGGTTTTGCAGTTTGTGTGCTGTCAGTTGAAGCTCTTACAAACCGCTTGAGAACGGACCTCGAACCGCCCGTCAAGGGTAACCCACCAAAAGGCTGGGCCAAAACTAAGCAGCTGAAGCCCAAACGATGGCAGATGATCACCAAGAGTAGCAACTCTAGAAAGCAACACAGCCCAGCGCAAGAGAACAGAGACATGCAGCAAATGCTTGTCTGCAACTGAATTTGCATCTCAAATGCAGCTGCTCGAATGAACTGACTTCTGGACATTTGCCTCCACATCCGACCGGCCAATTTCTTAAAAATAAACCACACCCTCCACACCTGCCAGGGCTGTGTACAGCCTAGACTCCAACAGCACGACTGCGATCATGGAGAGAATGAGTGAAGGCAGCTGCTGACAAGCCATCGCATCAACGCTGCAGGAGGAGACGCAGTAAGGCTCAGCTCTCTTTTACTCAGTTGCTTTCAGCGCGGGCTGAAAATGTCTTCATACATGCCTTCTTCACATGCGTAGGAAGATTGAAACTAATTTGCGTTAAGGGCAGTGGGCTTCAAAGCCAGAAGCCCGTCGGAAACAACATCTGAAGAAATGCAAGGTTTCTTTGTTAGCGGCAGGTGCGCTGGCCGATTGTTGGGAATTTGCAACAAACTGGCCAAACCAGACTTCCTCCTGCCATGCACCTTTACTGACAGAGCCACCTACCACCCCAGCACTCGTTCTTGTCTCTTGGAATGAGGCCACAGCAGACAAAGTCACATGCAGCAAAGTCACATGCAGCCACTCCGCACACCACCAGTGACTGGCGAACCAGAAACAAAACCACGGGCCAAGCTGATCTTGAGTGCACCACACCCGGAATCTCGTCATTCAATTAATTTTTCCCGAAAGCTCTGCGAAGGGTTCCTCGTCACTTACACCGCTGACCTACACTGCGCCACTTACACCGCTGACCTACACTGCGCCACAGCATTAGCACACATCGCCCTACACTTACACCGCTCACCTACACTGCGCCACAGCATTTGCACACATCGCCCTACACTTACACCACTCACCTACACTGCGCCACAGCATTACAATCATCGCACCGCTACACTTACACCGCTCATCTACACCGCGCCACAGCATTGCACACATCGCCTTCACATCGCCTTTAATTTTCTCTTTTTTAAAAGCCGGGGTAGGGTCATCGGGAATCGTCGGAGCGCACCCTCTGCGGGTTTCGTGCGCGCTGCATCGCTCCCGTTGTGGCGCCGTGCGAATTTTCCACATGAACAGCGAACCCTCTGCGGGGATCGTGCGTGTCGCATCGCTCCCGTTGTGGCGCCGTGCGAATTTCTAAACTGAACAGCCAACCCTCTGCGGGGATCGTGCGTGTCGAATCGCTCCCGTTGTGGCGCCGTGCGAATTTTGAAGCTCGGATTCGAACCCTCTGCGGGGATCGTGCGTGTCGAA